CTTTGGATTTTTCAATATACAGGGTGCATATAAATAATACCTAAAAAATTCAAGAGGTTATTCCTTGTGATATTTTAGGAAATAAAGTTCATATGAAGATGTGTCCTAATTTGCTTCGTTTTCGAGATACAGGGTATTAATATTTCCGTGAAAAATCTTTTTTCTATTCATTTCTCAATTGTCGTTTCATCAATTTCAATAAAACGTTGTGGTTTTGTTAATAGTAATATGGAGCTTCTTCTAGTGCAATTAGATTCGAAATAATATTTCCAGTGGCGTAACAGTGGGTAAATTTATCAATATTCTTGGTGAATGTCATTGTACAGGGTGGTCCGTTTTTTAGTACGGAAAATTCAACAGCGTATAGTACTCGTTGAAATAATAAATAAACTTCCCATGAACATATACTTTTAAACGCTTCGTTTTCGAGATATAGGGTGTTCAAGCTTCTTTAAAAAATCGATTATTTATTGATTTCTCAGAAATGCTATAACCGATTGTGATGAAATTTACATCTATTGTGGAAATATCAATGAGCTTACTTTTAGACCTATTACAGTTCATGAATGAGTTACATATTTTCAGGGACGTGCATTTCAAAATATTTTTTTTTTGTCCTCCTAGATTTTCTTATCTAATAGCTTCGTTTCAGAAGGAAAAATAAAAACCAAACCTATGCATGTCTCTAAACCCAATGAAAGAAACAGTGTAATGTATTAAATCTAGTTAGCATTGGCCGTTTACCAAACCATGTAACCATTGCAAATCAATCATTCACGTATTAGAAGAGTCACAACATGCCATAGACCGCAGTGGATATCCTGCTATTTGTCTTCAATGTTGCCGAGGTAGTACATTTTTTCTCCTTCTTTAATTGATATCAAGTAGTATTATTTAACTAAAAAAATTTATAAAATCTAACAAGCGAGCTTTTTTCATTGAAACTTGTAAAATAAGTGAAAAATCATTACCCTGAAAATTTGTGTAATTATTACCTTCGCCACCCCAGATTCAGTCGCCACTGAATATTTCTTATGAATAATTTTTATTTAATCTAATAAAACTCAAAAAGTTTAGTATCTATATGAAAAATTTCGTTAAGTTATCTACCTTTTCTAACTTTTGATTAAAAAAATATATGCAGAAGCGTATTTTTGACACCCAATATCTCAAAAACGAAGCGTTCAAAAGTATATGTTCATAGAAAGTTTTTTTATTATTCCAACGAGTACTATACGCTGTTGAATTTTCCATATTAAAAAACGGACCACCCTGTATACACCACCGGTTTTGAGTTACATATTTTTATTAGAATGAACTATTGAAATAACAACTTTTTTATCCTTTGTGTGATTTCTGCATCTAGCTTACTTTTTGAGGGAACAATAAAAATTCGATTTGACTCCAAATTTGAATGTTGACGTTTTCAAGTCTTCCATTGAGATTACTCAATAACCCCAATTAGAATCATTTTGAAATATCGGGGCTTTCTCAGTCTCCAACCATACTGAATTTTGGCACCATAAAAGCTCATACAGGGGGGTTATAAAACAATTAATACATCCAACTTCAACATCCTGTATCTCAAAAACGGTGCAAGTTAGGACACATGTTTATATGAACTTTATTCGCTAGAATATCACGAGGAATCACCCCTTGAATTTTTTCGGTGTTATTTAGATACACCCTGTATACGGAGGAACAAGTTATAGCGGTGATTGTGGTATCGATTTTCTGAGGGGAGCTGCCTTCCCAGTCTTCAATTTCACCGACGTTTATGAGTCCATTCGTAATATTGTATGAACATTTTTATGGTTTTGCGCTAGCAATTATTCGAAATTACTGCGGCACTTACATAAGAAAATTCCTACACGATAACAGACCAATTATTACTTCATTTCGAAAACAATGGACTGTTGTTTTCATCTACATCCGGAAAACAACTACACGTATACCTATGCGTGTTATACACCTTATGTATTGGAATATGGGACTTGATTTCTTATCTTCTTGACTACAACAAAAAATTAATGAGAAAGTTTTTCCCTGTATGTATTTGACAGTTTTGCTGTAATAAGAGTACAGTGGTTCAATGATTCAGAATTCTGATCACCCTGTATCTGTTCCGATTAAATATCAGTAAATAGTAAATCAAAAGTTGTGATAGGGACATGTGAGCCGTTTCGGCCGATCAGGGAGAATCTAAAAATGCAATAAAATACAGGGTATTCTATTTGAAATGACAAAGTTCAACCAACAAGCTTTCAAAATGTGCTTTAACCTCCTCGGATCCCAGGTATCATATATCATACTACGGTTGAATTTTTTTCCATTGTCTAGCGCGTACCCAGCGAGCACAAACATCCCTGGTATGTTTTGGGATGTTTTGAAAATGTTGGCATGAAGATGTTATTTTGAGACGTAATATGCACTGACCAAAGAGGTCTTTGAAGGATATTGAAGTATTGTTTTTGTTCTTCTGTGGCATTTCTTTGTTTGCCTACTGATAGGTATCCCTGGGATGTTTTGGGATGTTTTAGAAATGTAGGCATGAGGATGATTTTTTGGGGCGTAATATGCACTTCCCAAAGAGGTCTTAGAAGGATATTGAAAGTATTGTTTTTGTTCTTTTGTGCCCTTTCTTTGTTTGCCCCACCACAAGGTCTCATGCTTACGTCACTATACGATGAATTCTGATTTGTTTTCGATTTTGTTCTTCTTGTTCGCAATTGGCATTCGCGTTTGCAGCGTGTCACGCTTATATCACGCTGCTAACGAACAGAAAGGAATTTGGTGAAGTTTATTGTGTTAGAAGACTTATTTAGTTTGTAATAATGACCATCAGATGCAAGATGTGTTGTTTGGTGCCTCAGCGTAATCAATATATAAAAGTACGAATTCATCAATACACAGCTTCTCCGCAGTTGCAAAATTATGCATTGTGGAGAACATTTCAAAAATTGGGAAACCTATTTCCAATTATATGTCTGTGTGTAGTAAGCACCCCAGACAGCACTGGATATTCCTAGAATATTCTCTAAATATGCTAAAAGGGAAGAATATATTCCGAATATCCTTCGAATATTCTTAGAATATATACGTGCCTCTGGAACATTCAAGGAATATTCAAATGTGAATATTCTAGTAATATTCCAAAATGAATATACAGAAGGAATATTCTGAAGTGAATATTCCTAGAATATTCCAGTTGGATAGTGCAGGGAATATTCAGGTATGAATATTCCAGGAATATTCCTAATCGAATATTCTGTTCCTGTATATTCATGGAATATTTCAATAATATATTCCCATATGTTTCAATGAAATTGTAAAGTATGAAAATTAACCAATCACAATTTTATAGATGTGAGTATTGAACATTGATTCTGAAATCTGTAGTAGAAGTCCATCGTATTTCAAAGTAAAATGGTTATGTTACCAGGGATCAAAAACAAAAAGTCGTCTCCACAATTTTGATAGTGATCAAAGTACTCAATCAGATCATCGTACATGTTAAGAGCCCATATGGAACTGGAAGTGTTTATGATGGTTCCCTTCTGAACAACGCATTTCAATAAATTGTTATGTACATTATTATTCAACTCGATTACTGGCCAAGTGGTTAAGGCGTTGATCTGACAGTCTGAAAGTCTCGAGTTCGAGCCCATCTTGGGTCAGCTTTTTTTAATTATGAATATGTATTACGGAATATTCCCGGAATATTCATTTATTTATATTCCTGTATTATTCCAGGAATATTCCGAATATTATCTGAATATTCCTAGAATATTATAGGTACATTCTGAATATATAGGGAATATTCCTTGTGTAATATTCCGGGAATATACAAAATTTTCCCCACCAGCACATTCAGGGAATATTCCATAGTTGATATGTATATCCCTGGCATGTTCATGAATATTCGCAATATCCAAAAAGAATATTCTATGAATATTCATGGAATATCTGGTGCTGTCTGGGACTACTCAGAAACCGATTAAGAAGGTAATTTCATATCAAGAAAATATTTTTATGTTCAATCTATTTTTGATGCATTTTTTCATTCAAAGGAAATGGAATCCTAATGCAAAAGTTCATTTTGACAAAAGGCTTCAGGAAAGTTGAAAATGTTCTGTTGTGTCCATGAAAAGGCTTTAAAAAGAACTAGGGAGAAGGTAGTTTTGTGACATATCAAGGACATCTCGATAATTGCCGCCTGCGGCGGACATTGGCTGTTCTATAATGGTTCAATTCATGTGTGAACAGAACATCGCAGTGGAGGTTCAATGTCTCGAAATCTCGTACTTTTAACATCCCTGAGATGTTTTTGTGCTCGCTGGGGACTAACTGGACAACCCTATGCATGTTCAAGTATTAGGAGCTAGTGATGATGAAATGGTGGTTGCTATATTGACCTCTAGTGGATTTGATTCCGAGAGAGAAAAAGAGAAAAAGAAAATGGAGGAGAACTTTCGGCCTCCAACAAGAAAAATCTTTGCCATGTGTTGAAGATACTTCTGATCCTGAAAATATTACCATACCAATCACTAACTTCAACAAATACCTCACCATTTGCCAAAAATTCCGAATGTTTTGGGGGTTGGACACCAGGGTATACCAATAGTTTCATACATATTGTAAGAAATCGTTTTTTCACCCTCCGAACACAGATCAAACTTGTGAACGATGATTCTGTATCAAAAGAAGCAGCTGCCATTTTGTCTGGGTCTAGACCCAAGTATAATTATAGTGATAACAATATTTTGGGAAAATCGATTAATCAAAAAAAATGTATTCATGGATATTAGTGTTCTTAACGCATCAATAAATTCACAATAATTTTGTGTTGGGCCCGAGGAGGATAAAATTTTTTCGAACAATTATTATCAACGTCCTTCAGTTATTACTACTGATAACTACACAGCAGAGGCATGTATAGGTACATTATTTATAGGTACCCGCACATAATTACATTTCTATAACAGTAAACATTAATGTTTTATACATATATTACCATGCATTGATAAAAAATTACACAACAATAGTACACCTGATCGACTAGGAAAACAACGGACTGTTTTCATAGTTCCTCAACAGCGCTCTGATAACTACAGGGTGTGCGTACATCGTCAGGTAATCTAGATTTTCTTTGATGAAATCCAAAAGCTTTTGCTCGATTATTTTCGGATACGCTAGAGCTCTGAACTTTTCTTCGATCATTACATTGGCTTCCGTAGATAGCTTGAAAAATGAAATAAATAAATATTGTACACGTATAATAATTATTGAATCATTTTCTTCAAAGAACGGCTCTTTATAATTTTTTCCACCACTAGCTATTAAACCTACCTTTGTTTACTCGTTTTCGAGGAGTAAATAAAGACATATATATATATATAGACCTCTGTTGTAATTAACCCAAATGCACTGTTCTGATCAGAGATTCGCAGGAATGTCACTCGAATCTAGAAGGTATTTATTGAAAATAAGTGCTTTTATAGTGACAATAGGTCCATATTTCGGTTTCACAGAACTAAAATGATTGAAATATATTGCTAGTGGTGAAAAAAATTTAATAGAAACCTTGTTAGTAAAGAATATTATCACCACGGGACCTTATAGCCCTCGGCTGACGCCTTGGGATATAATCTTGGTCCCTATGTGATAATAAAATTATTTTTGCTGTGACGGGAAAAAAGTTTGGCATTTCATCTCTGTTGGCAGGTTATATAATGTCACTCACATAAAGTGCGAGTACTTTTTTCCGGATATATCACATATAAATACACTGTTGATGGCTTTTGTTGTGCTATAGTTCCGAAAAATGATTCAATAGTACCGTCTCCGAGAAAGAACTGCAAGTCCTTTTATCTTCCAATCGACATCGCGGTTACGTATATTACTAAATAACCACTAAATTCGCAATTTTTCGAAAAAAAAATCACAGAATAAGACTGACAGAAGTGACATAAGATATTTGATTACTTCAAAAGAATGATAAAGATGCCTACAACGCAGGTGTCCCTACTGTTAAAAACTTGAAATTACACGTCGATAATTTTCAGATTTCAAAAAAATGTAATAACTTCTCAATATTGATTCGTCCTTTCTTCTGTCACAGAAAAAAATAGTACGGGAAAAATATTAGATTTTAGCTCACGGTTTTTTGTCTCCCTCCGCTATACGCGTCGGGAGACAACACAACCTGGAGCTAAAATCTACTACTTTTTTCCCTTGTATAATAAATAACTATTACTACCTTGATGTATACATGACTATTTCCTGTAGATCTCGAATATGTTGACAGAAAAACAGTTGAACACCTCACGAAAAATATACGTGAAGACTCTGTAAAGGGTGTCTTGCATGTTAATGGAAATATTAAGGAGTTGACAGAAGATGTCATTTAGAACCTATTTCGCCACACTTACCTTCATATCAAGTGTACCAAAAGAAATGGAGCAACCTTTTGTGTGTTAAATATCGAAATAATATATTCAACTTTGTTTAACTTCAATAAATATTTTGATGTCGGATTGATTTGATTCGTTGATTGATGATAAAATAACTTTCAAACAGGGTTTTTAAGAATACAAAAAAGTCCATTAAAAATCGTTGGCAATATATTGACCAGTTTTTTCATTTGAAGTTTTTTTGCTATGGCTTTCGTGATAAGAAGATTCCAGCACTATCAGAATATATCACTAGAAATGCAATCGACTGGAATTTTTATGATTCACATGCAAGACTCAATTTCGCTGATGCCTATAAGAGGTTAGCCAGTGAATACGTTTCGGAAAACGGAACCATCTTATACAGGGTCGTGTATCTGAAGTAATAGTGTACATAGTAGGTGGGTAGTAACAATCATGTACCATGTTCAAAAACTTCGAAGTCATTCGAAAAATACACTATACAATTCCACCTAGGATACTCTGTCTCAGTTGTAACCAATATTTTGTTAAGGAAAGTACATACAATTACTGAAGAGCCACCCTGTATAGGTACTTAATTTCTGGTAGCATATTTTTGACTTACCGGATTCCATTTATGTTGTTTGTAGAGGGTTATCAGATCATTTATTATAGAGTGGCCACTAACACCCTAAAAACATTCTGAATTGAATATACAGGGTGATTCACCATAAATGTCCCCCTCCTCTAGCTCACTTATTTTTGAATCGATTTAAAAATGTGAAAAATCATCTGAAATGATTTTTCAGAAATTTTGTTCCCGTTGCATCAGAAAATAAAGGGTGCATGGAACAAACGATCTACAGAGTACTACTCGATTTTTTCAAATGGAACACCCTGTATTTCATTGTATTTTTAGATTTTCTCTGAAGAGCTGATTTCATCAATATATCACACTTGGGGTCTAGCGGGAATGATTACAGAGATATAGGGTGTTCAAAATCGAGATTTTTCAACTTCAGGATTTTTTTGTGTCGAAACTATTCATTATCGGTCAAAACGGCTTCAATATCCCCATCTCAACTTTTGATTTACTCTCTACTGACATTTAATGGGAACAAATACAGTGTGGTTCAAGATTCAGAATTCTGATCACCCTGTATCTGTTCCAATTATTAAATGTCAGTAGATAGTAAATCAAAAGTTGAGATACGGATAATGAATAGTTTCGTCACAGAAAAATCCTAAAGTTGAAAAATCCCGATTCAAATAGTACCCTGTAGATCGTTTGTTCCGAGCACCTTGTATTTTCTGATGTAACGGAAAAGAACTCTATCGAAAATCATTTTAGATGATGTTTAAAATTTTGTAATCGGTTCAAGAATAACTGAGCTAGAGGGGGGGACATTTATGGCGAATCACCCTGTACATATTATGCATATCCCGGTGAAATGAGAGTTCTTATACAGAGTAATTTTTTTTAAATTAAAATAACTATCACTGATTTTGACATTATTGGAAAAATCACTCCATACAAGTATACAAGTATGGTATACTTACAACAGAAGACGTCATCAACATATTCAAATCGTCCAATAAGTAGTCAAATTTATCATGATAGAGAGCATAAGCCCAAGGTTCTTTGAAATAGTCGAAAAGGTCCGTTATCAGTACCATTTCAAACCTCAGGGCTATATTGTTCAACATTTTTTCGTGTTTACCCCATAAGCAGTAGATATTGTAAATGTCAATGGGCTGAAAAATAATGACAGATTTGGAAATCATCCTTATCATCCAGTACATCACCTTCCCATATATAAATAGCAATTGATGCAGTTATTCATTATTTGAAATCATCCCAAATAATTTTTTCAATATTGAAAACGCTAACTCTTGATGACATGATAGACGATAAGAGCAAAGCAAGAATTCACTTCCACCTTAGGGGTGTACAGAGATGCACCCAATAAATAGCTTAGGATACTATTAAAAAAAAGATTCCCAGCGAGCACAAACATCCCTGGGATGTTTTGGGATGTTTTGAAAGTGTTGGCATGAAGATGTTATTTTGAGACGTAATATGCACTGACCAAAGAGGTCTTTGAAGGATATTGAAGTATTGTTTTTGTCCTTCTGTGGCATTTCTTTGTTTGCCTGCTGAGAGGTATCCCTGGGATGTTTTGGGATGTTTTTTTTGAGGCGTAATATGCACTTCCAAAAGAGGTCTTAGAAGGATATTGAAAGTATTGTTTTTGTTCTTTTGTGCCCTTTCTTTGTTTGCCCCACCACAACGTCTTATGCTTACGTCACAATACGATGAATTCTGATTTGTTTTCGATTTTGTTCTTCTTGTTCGCAATTGGCATTCGCGTTTGCAGCGTGTCACGCTTACATCACGCTGCTAACGAACAGAAAGGAATTTGGTGAAGTTTATTGTGTTAGAAGACTTATTTAGTTTGTAATAATGACCATCAGATGCAAGATTTGTTGTTCGGTGCCTCAGTGTAATCAATATATAAAAGTACGAATTCATCAATACACAGCTTCTCCGCAGTTGCAAAATTATGCATTGTGGAGAACATTTCAAAAATTGGGAAACCTATTTCCAATTATATGTCTGTGTGTAGTAAGCACTACTCAGAAACCGATTAAGAAGGTAATTTCATATCAAGAAAATATTTTTATGTTCAATCTATTTTTAATGCATTTTTTCATTCAAGGGAAATGGAATCCTAATGCAAAAGTTCATTTTGACAAAAGGCTTAAGAAAAGTACCTCGAAAATGTTTTTTTTACAGCGATTAAATGTGCGCAAGACGCGTTGAAAATGTTTTGTTGTGTCCATGAAAAGGCTTTAAAAAGAACTAGGGAGAAGGTAGTTTTGTGACATATCAAGGACATCTCGATAATTGCCGACTGCGGCGGACATTGGCTGTTCTATAATAGTTCTATTCATGTGTGAACAGAACATTGCAGTGGAGGTTCAATGTCTCGAAATCTCGTACTTTTAACATCTCTGAGATGTTTTTGTGCTCGCTGGGTTAACTCTAACCCAACCCTCCAGCAGATACTTCAGATATACAAATTTCAGAGTGAGGGATAATCTTCATATCATTTAAATGATTATAACATAACTATAAAATTATTTATATAACAAACTTTTTTTTTTATCTGCTATAGTATGAATAAATTATAACATCCGGTGAATCTTCGCAATGTTGACAGTGAAATGAACTTAGAATGCGAATATCTGCGTAATCTTTTGAAATAACCCCATCAAACCCGGTATCGATGGATTCTTTATGACAATCCTTAACCGATTATGGAATACAATACAGGGTGTCCCATTTAAAAATCAAAAGTTAGGGTCGTTTCCGATGAAACTGAAAGTGATAGAACAAAAATTGTTTCATCAATTGATGATGAGCAATTTGATATACTTGCTACCCACCAATTTTCAAAACCCTATCTAGAATACAATTTCGAAACATCAAACGTCAAAATACTTACGAATTTCGTCAAACAAGTTATGGTTTCTACCCGTTCAAATTCGTTCAGATGCAGCTGGAAAAATCCTTGTTTGTTCAAATTCCTACATCCCCCTGTTATCAGAACTTGGCCCTGTAAATGCCAAAAGCAAATGAGACTCGATCTCGCGCATAGAAAACACACTACCAAGGATTAGAAAGAAGAAAGGTACTTTCCTCGCTGACAGATATATTTTCAAAGGTGAGGCCTCTGTGTCAACAGGATGTAGAACTCCTCAATATACAGGGTGTCCAGAAATTAGCCCGTCAAACTTCCCCAGCGGCCTCTACGACCAAAAATAGGAAGAAAAGTCCGAGATCGAATTGTCGAAAAATATGCATACATTAAAGTTTGAGCAATTTTTTATTCATCAGTCCCACCCTGTATTATACACTCCTGAATGACATTTTAAAATGATTATATTTTCACTGCAATGGGCCTGGGAAGTTTAGTTCTTGTACCGAATGGGCCAGTGGACTGATATTGAATTATTGTCATTCAATTATTCCAGTGTCTCGTTAGGAACCTAATTTAATTTGTGCAAAACTTTTTTATGTGAATAATACGTTTATGCGTTGTTCAAAATCGTTGAATTCCAGAGCTCATTTCAAACGTAACGTCATGGCATAATGTATTGTCACCGAAATTATGAACACCTGCCAAATTTCAAGGTAATCGGAGTTATGGAATTTTTGTTGAAATTAAAAAAAATGGCTGCTCCAAGATGGCGGACAAGATTTGGTCCGATTCGGTTTAAAATTAGTGAGTGGAGGTTTTTGAGGTCGGAGATCATAATTTTTTCGTTGAAATTCATAAATTCGAGATGGCGGCTCCCAAATAATTTTTTGTTCTTGTATGAATGACGATAACTCCGTTGTTATCAACACAAAACTATTACTGCGACATATCATCTGTAAGAGAAAAAAAAGTTATTTGTAACTAAGTCATAGTGAGCTATGATCTACATTTGAAAAACTAAAGTTGGTGCTGATATCTCAAATTCTAGAAGAGTTGGTATAAATTTCATATACTTTTCAGAATCACTTTGAAAAACTGCCATGGGAATGTGAAATTTCTATTTGAATATATTTATGAATACACTGAGAAAAAAAATTGAGTGAAATTTCACTCAAGGTCCACGCAATAATGAGTCAATTTCGGTTCACGCCCGATTGAGTTGAAATGTCACCCTACTTGACTGTGTAAAATGGTAATTCATGAACCGATTCAATCAAATTTGTTATAAACATTCTCATTGATATGAGAACTTGATGAAATATCTAGTTTGAGTTGAGAATTCACTCAAAAATTTCAATCAGTAAATTCACTCACAACCACATATGCATCCACTCAGAGGAATTTTCTACAGTGTAAAGAAGTTACGGAGGAGACATGAAAATTATCAAAATCTGTTTTCTGCGTATAAAACAAAAACGAATAGATTTTATTAAAATATTTTTTCACATTATAGTTGGCCTTGACAAACTCCACATTTGGTGTCATTTAACCGACCTCGTATCTCTCACCGTTAAAAAGATACCCATGGTGAGCATGGTAAGTGGGACACACTGTATAAGCAATTAGGCACAAATCATAAGAGAACATGTTGAGACAATTGAATTTGTATTGCTAATTATTGGAATATTACCGATACTCAATTGAGAATTTATGAATTATTGAATAACTAATATTTCTGAAGTTCCCAATCGTATTTTAAGACATGGCAACTGTGCTATGATCTGCACCTACTTACGAAATCGTGGCGTCAGTTTTTACTAATGGTAAATTTCTAGCCGTTTGAAAATTTTCGTGGCTTTATTGATGATTTTAACACCATAAAATCGACCAAAAAATTCTTAAAGAACATGACATTGAAAAGTATTTGAGTGATTCTGTTAAGGAAATAAAAAAAATGAGTACACTCGCTTCACTCATGTTCATTTGTCGTAGAAGCCACTTGTTACGTTTGGCTGGGTAATTTCGGGACACCCTGTATACTGTCACCGCAAAAAAAACGGATTTTGGTTGAAGTTTGACCAAATCATAGATTCATGTTTCGGAATGTTAGCCTGAATTATAGTTCTCAAGAAAACCAGATAGTTTGATCATTATACAGGAAAAAACATAAGTTACTCTTCCACCCTTAATTTCTTAACGCCCTGTGGAAAAGTGAGTGGGTAAACTCAGCTCCACCATGTTTTGGATTGAAGTGTGATCTCTTCTCAACACAATGGTTTTTGTTTCACGTCAACATCTTGTACTTAATTTCTTTTATACAGGGTGTCCGCTAAAAGGAGGTCAATCCATTAACCATATATTCCTTGAAGAAAAACAATATGAGTTTCTAAATACCATTTTTCATTTTAGCACTTCATATTCGATATACAGGGTGTCAAAGTTGGAAATTAAAAACTGTTTTTTTTAATTACTCGCGTATTTAATAAGATATTGATCTCAAAATTGATGCATTACTTCAGCACAAAGAGTTACATCGTGTGAGGAAAACAAAGCAGACAATAACTGTCAAATATTCAAAATATTGGGGGTTAAGTACACACTTAGCCCCATATTTTTTTTGTACGTGCGCTAATGACTTCCTATCTATTTTTCTTCAAATATTCAATCATTTCTGAGTATTTTTTGTCTCTTGTAAAGTTTCGGTAAAATTATTTGTTTTTAAGATAATTCGAAAAGTACTGGTTATTGTTTGATGCTCGGTTTGATGCCTATGCGGCTAACGGTAATCTCATAATGTTCACATACCCCTATTTATTTCGTCGACATTGGAAGAGGGCGTAACTTTTTACGTACGAAAAGGTAAGAATGGAAATACCGGGTGCTCAGAGCGAATGTATTTAAATAATTTTCACAAATGAAAATTGACAGAAATTCACGTTCAATTCTATTTCCAACTTTGACACCCTGTATATCGGATATGAAGGGCTAAAATGAAAAATGGTATTTAGAAACTCATATTGTTTTTGTTCAAGGAATATATAGTTAATGGATTGACCTCCTTTTAGCGGACACCCTGTATAGGATATTTTCACTTATAGAGAGAGAGATTTTTTTGTCGAAGTAAACTTGACATGTATGAATAAGAATTTTTTTGCCTGGCAATTTGACGAGAAGAAAATTGCCTCTGAAAAAATTACGAGTCCATAGGACGAGTAATTTTTTCTGTCAGTTCTTTGAGTGAAATTACCTAATGGCAACAAAATTCGAATTATAAATGCCAAATTCACTTCGACTAAAGGAAAGCTACACTGTAATTCTGTAAGACAATTTGATTTATAAAATATTTGTTTATGGCTGGTTCTCATGCTTTCAAAAGTTAGGTTCCGTTATTGTCGCTGGAAAAGTTTTTTTCGCTGTCATAATGACAAAATCACGCGGCTTGTGGGATTTTTCATACATGAATTAAATTGTCAGTGAAACAATTTATTTCGAAGAATTCTACGCTGTTGAAAATTTGTTAGTTGGTAGCTTGTTTTCTATGACCTATTGGAAATATTCGAAATACATAGTTCTCCATCGCTATGGCAGTTTCTAAGGGAATCCTTCTGCCCGGTTTCGTCACTGAAAGGTAATAAAGGCTGCCCGGCAATCTGCAATACCGCATGATAGGCTTGACGTATCTGGGCACCAAGTATTTTCCTCTTTCGATGTGAAAATTCCAGCCATTCTCTTTCAAGTTCAAGTCTCGTACCTGGCCAGAAAAATATTCATTCATTCTGTTGAGGAAGATTATCTATTTTTGCTATATTTGTCGTTTCTATACGCTTTGTATATTGTTAAAAAGAAGAATGATGACAGTGTCAGAATTATGATTGAATTTATGATTGTAAAAAGTCAAGAGATTAAAAAGATTCTACGATTGAAATAGAGATTTTTACTTTAGAGAAAGATATAGATTTTATATTGGTCCTTCGAGCCGGATAATGGTACCAACTTTCATGGAGCTGATAAGGAGCTTTCCACACTTGTGCAAAATATTGACAAAGATGCCATCGAAAATGAAAAGTCTTCAAGAAGAATAAAATGGCATTTCAATCCTCCCACAGCATCACATATGGGCGGCTGCTGGGAACGCTTAATCCGATCAGTGCGAAGAAGTCTGCAAGTTATCATGAAAGAAAAATATCCACGTGATGAAGTATTACAAACCGCTTTCGTAGAAATTGAACATATGATAAATTCAAGACCCCTAACTTTCACCTCGGAAGACCCTAATGCTCCAGAAAGTTTGACTCCGAATCATTTTCTTATTGGGTCTTCGCAAGGTTCTTTCCCAGACACAATGAAAGATCCCAATTACGACATGAGAAAACAATGGAAAGCAGTACAAGTTATATCAGAGCTATTTTGGAAGAGATGGGTGAAAGAATATAAGCCTGAGTTGAATAAGCGGACAAAATGGATCAAGCGCAAAGATGGTTTGACGGTCCGTATTTTCTACAGAAGGAAGAAGTTCACTGGCCCGATGAAGATGGTATAGATATGGATATTCCCAAAGAAGAGTTAGAAATCAAGAAATCACTGCTGGTTTTGCATCATTATCAGACACCAGAGTTTCTACCCCAAATAGAAAGATTCTCATCTTACGAGAAATTATAGTTCGAACCACTGCTTGGGTGAGAAGATTCATTGAAAATTGTACGAAGTACGTGAAGAATAAAAACTGTTTATCTGTGACAGAAATAAAAAGATCAGAAAAACTTTGGTACCAAGAAGTTCAAATGGATCAAGAAAGTCGAGAATCTGAAAAAAGACGATGTTGTTCTTATTGTAGATAATTCCCTACCTCGAAATACATGGCCTCTTGGGAAAATAATTAATACCTATACTGGACGCGATGGCATCGTAAGAGTTGTAGAAGTGAAAACCCAGTACGGAACCTATCGACGACCTGTCGTGAAACTCTGCAAATTGGATGTTAACGGACAAAGGAATTTGTGAAGAAGTCTTCACCAGGGGGTAGAATGTTGAGGAAGATTATCTATTTTTGTTATATTTGTCGTTTCTATACGCTTTGTATATTGTTAAAAAGAAGAATGATGACAGTGTCAGAATTATGATTGAATTTATGATTGTAAAAAGTCAAGAGATTAAAAAGATTCTACGATTGAAATAGAGATTTTTACTTTAGAGAAAGATATAGATTTTATACATTCAATTCCAGACAGAATGAGATCTGTTATGAGTATCATCAACAACAATAAATTATCGAACAAAGAACAATATTTGTGGAAATGACATATTAAAATAATAAGTTATTCTACTTTATTATTGAATGTATCTATATTTCTGCAGTTTTAGTCTTCTCCTGAAGATGCTAACATAGTTAGCGAAACACGTTTCGAGGTGTGAAAATCGGTTTGGTTAGTGGTAAAACAGTGTGTAGTATTTCTACATAATGTTGATATTTCAGCAAAGTTCATGTGAATAACTATGACTATGCGCATTTCAATGAATTCCGACCTTTTGAGGAACGAGCATACTTTTAATCTGCATCCCAAGACGGTGCCCGATTTCCACCCTATTGAAATACTTCGCCGTCATATTGGGAGCGTAATATTTCCTCGAATATTTGGTCACTGTCCCAGCACCGTATATTTTTGGATCGTTTGTCCGATTTTTGTTGTCTACCACCAGTCTACCTGAAGAACAATGAATAAAAATCAAAAGTCTTGTCCATTGTCGGTATGGATGAAAACCTAGTTCGTAGGCGAGAGGTATAATATTGTCTGTTCATTGACCCAAAATTGGTCTGCCTGTCAATTGCGCTCGTTTACTGAAAACATAAAGAGCTCATTTATTTCAACAAAGTATTTTCAAAATGGACGATTCCAGGTTGAAGCTCTGATTATCTACACTAACAAAATGATCCACCTTATTGGAATCTGCTCAATATCTGCAAGTTGCTGAATTATCTTGGAATATCATTCTTTGTGAAGCAGGAAAAAGGCTTTGAAATAAAGTTTATTGAAATTTCTGGAGATGACTCAGAGTTTTTCTTCCTGCTGATTATTCATTTTGTCTGAATGAACTGATAATTCAGGATGGAAGATAATGTAGTGAGTTATTATTAGCAACGAAAAAGCAGTGAATAAGCTAGCAGTTCGTACCTTTTTATTCTCTGCTTGCATGCCATAATTTCGACGATAAAGTACGAATGATAATGTTATATCACAGCAGTTTCCAGTTCCTACTCAAATTCAATCAATAATGTGTCGAGAGTTCCATATATATATACAATATTAAACCTCTCACCTACTAACTAGGTTTCCATTCAGAACAACATGTCTTGTGTGTATCAAATTCACGATTATACGTATCAACTGACCTACCATCGTAAACCAATCCCGCATTATTGATAACTCGATAAACCCTCGGACTAACTTCCTTCTCGTTGAAGAAAAACATAGCCAGACACTCCATCTCGAGCATCTTGTGCCTCGATTCGAACTTGGCCATAGTAATAATGTTGTCACTCGGATCGTATGTCCAATCGATGAAGTAGTACGACGAGTAGATCGTTATGCCCTCGTCTTTGATATGATCGTAGATGGTCTGATCGATGTCGGGGTCGTTGTAGATCGAAACGTTGTGTCGATGACGCTTTTCTATCGTCATGCTGTATGGGAACGGCTCGATGTAGACCATGTGATTACCCGGGACACCGAAGGATAGTAGGCCGTGCATCGTAGCGTGAGCTTGGAGGAAGTGGCCGTAGATTATAATGACGTCTGAAAATAATCAGATGGTACCTCTAATGTCAACCAATCATCTGACAACGCTTTCTATCGGTACCGCCCACTGAAATGTTCCAGGAACCCCACAGGTTATCTACTGTCACAAAGACCACTTTATCACCCAAAAAGGATATTAAAACATATTATGGGAATGAAAAAAAGAAGAGGAACATCGCGTTAGACACACGTAAACTACACTTCCTGTCTCTAAACCACTAAAAGCTCGATGGCTCATCTGCTACAGAAAGTACTTCAGTTTATAATCAGATATATGAAGTCACATTGGAGAAACGTTAGTCGTACGTCCAATCGATGAAATATAACGAGTAGATTCTGATGCCCTCGTTCTTTATCTGATCGTAGATGGTCTGATCGATTTCGGGGTCGTTGTATATCGAGGCGTTGTGTCTCTGTCTTCATGCTGTAGGAAGTAGACTCGATATAGACCATGTGATTACCCGGGACGCCGAAGGATAGTAGGCCGTGCATCGGAAGTGGTCGTAGATTATAATGACGTCTGAAAAGAATCATAGGGTACCTCTGATATCAACCAATCACTAGACAACGATTCCTATCGGTCCCACCCACAAAAATGTTTCAGGAGCCTCACAGGTTATCTACTGCCACATACTATCTTATCACTCAAGAATTATATTTGAACAGGTTATGGAGATGAAAGAAAGGGAAGGAATATCACCAAGCCACACAAAGACCGCATTTCCTGCCAGCACCACATCACATTGGAGATACGTACGTAGTACGCCCAATCAGTAGAACGACTAGTAGAACGTTATGTCCTCGTTCTTGAAGCAATACTAAAAGAAATGTCCCAGTAATGTCATTACCTATCTACTGCTAAGCAAATCCTCTCCAATTTCACAATCAGGATCTTTGAACTTGTTGTGCAGATGCTTCAGCTTGACGATAGCGTTATTGGTGTCGACGATTGGTGACTTTGCCTTGGACTTAGTTGACGTACGTCTTCAAGTCGATCATGTCCATGTACCTTGCGTCCACAATCAGAATCCTTGTTGTGAATATGAAAGATGAGTATATGATCATCTAATCCCTGAACTTGTTGATAGAGAAATAAGAAAAGAACATGCAATCGTAGCTTGAGAGCCAACCAATCATCTGAATCTACGTGGACCACGCCTCTTGGAAGCACTACTGAAATAAATGCCCCAGTAACCCCATTACCTATCTACTGCTAAGAAAACCATCTCCAAACTCACAATCAGGATCTTTGAACTTGTTGTGCAGATGCTTGAGCTTGACGACAGCGTTATTACCGCCGAGGATTGGTGACTTTGCCTTGGACGAAGTTGACGTACGTCTTCAAGCAAATCATGTCCATGTACCTTGCGTCCACAATCAGAATCCTTGTTAAAAGAGAAATGAGAAAAGCACATGCAAACGTAGCTTGAGAGCCAACCAATCATCTGAATCTACGTGGACCACGCCTCTTGGAAGCACTACTAAAAGAAATGCCCCAGTAACCCCATTACCTATCTACTGCTAAGCAAACCATCTCCAAACTCACAATCAGGATCTTTGAACTTGTTGTGCAGATGCTTGAGCTTGACGACAGCGTTATTAGCGTCGACGATATGGTTGATGATGAACACGTTGTCCGGTTTCTCCTGAAAGGGCACTCTGTTGGATCGCACCGGCATCTGGAACTGTTCGCCGTTCATCAACATCAGCAAGTCGTAGTTGGCGTAGCTGTTGTTGTTGATGACCACCAGCTGCTCTTTGCGATCCAGATTGGTGACTTTGCCTTGGACGAAGTTGACGTACGTCTTGAAGCTGATCATGTCCATGTACCTCGCGTCCATGAAGTTCTTCTTCACCATGAAGGAATCGCGTACCTTACTGGCCACTTTCGCGTACGACATGCTGTTCGGCGATATCAGGGTCACGTTGTTGAAGGTTATCTGCGATGGAGAATCGCCATGTTCAATGAAATAATATACAAAGTACAAGCAATTTCATTGGGACAGTATTACCATTCCTATAAATTTAACAACTTTTTCTCCCTCTTGTCGTTTATATATTAACAATATCGTCCCTATGAAATTATAGGTATTCAGTATGTTCAATCATTGTCGTTCAAGTAGGCGAGGTATAATATTGTATGTTCATTCAAAACAAATCTGCGAAAATTGCTCTTATTGACCACATTTTCAGTAATTCAGTAGGTATTCATTTGTCATCTTACCCTAGAAGTTCCTCAAACTCTTGTGAAGATTAATTCCACTACCTCCATACACAAATAAAGAAATCAAGATGCATGAAAAGGAAACTGTTTTATTTAGGCGATGATAAAATTCCCGATTCATTGATGTTATTTGAATTCGATTATGAACTGAAAACTTATCAGTGCTATGATAAAACATTACTATTCGAACTCAATCGGAATAATGGCATGCAAGCTGAGAATGAAAATGTATTGAAAAGAACTACACAAATAAAGTTTCTTGGTATGTGGATTGATGAAAAATTGAAATGGGACAAGCATATGGAGGTTCTGATACAAAAAATATCTCCAATCATTGGAGCTTTGCGAAGATGTCCTGAACTTGATAAAAAAGTCATAAACATAGTACTTCATTCTCATATACTCAGTCGTATTACCTATATGATAAACGTTTGGGGATATTGTTATTTCAGTAAAATATCTGTACTTTATAAGAAATCACTGAAAGTATCATTCTGCCTCTCATTTGATATCCCAACAAATGATCTGTATGCGATAACAGAAAAATTTTCATCGGATGAATCATATAAAATAGATTCTCCTAAAGTTTCATATGATATCATAAACAATAATCTGAAATTCAATTTTGTTTCGATAAGAAACTCAAAAATTCATGGTCATCACACGAGACAATTAAACTTATTTTATCTTGATTCTGCTACTTCTATAATTGGCCAAAAAAATTTACTAACGCTGCTCTAGCTGAATTCAATGAATTACCACATAATATTAAAAATAGTTGTAGACATATTTCAAAATTCAAAATTGAATTAAAAAACACATGATTTTATTACGAAATGGATAAAATTGATACTTTGCCATCTACTGATTAGTCCCTGTGGTTATTTTTATGACTTGATCGATTTAGCATTTTTAGATTTTTCAGCTTTCTGTTGTCGTTGTTGTTGTCACCTTATGTTATTTTATTATTGTTGTTTGTAATCAACTTCCTCATACGAGAATTTTATTTCTGACTGGAAGCTAGTTTCTCAATAAACAACGAATGTAATGTAATATATTTACTTTCATATTAACTCACTACATAATCTTCATTCCTGAAATATCAGTTCATTCACATACCTCTTTTAGATGTGCAAAATGAAACATCAAAGTCGAACAAACAAACTAACAACTAACTTGAAACTAGACAATTGAATTGATTTGTCTGAAGTGGAATTTCAAAAACCTCAACCTAAAATTGTCCATTTTGACGAACATTTTATTGAAACAAATGAGCTTTCTATGTTTTCAGTACACTAGCGCTATTAACAGGCAGACAAATTTTGGGCCAATGAACAGAAAATATTATACATGTCTTCTACTAACTAGGTTTCCAGTTAGAACGACGATGATTCAGCAATCATGTTCACTAAATGTTCTCTTCCTTACCATGTAATCAACACTTTGATTGAATAATAACATCTCCAGGAATGCAAGCGATGTATTGCTGCAACCAACTACAACAATCCTCGTGTTTATGCATTGTCTGTTGACGCTGCACAGTTTCACTGTCGATAGATAGAGGGCGAAAGGCTCTTGATTTTCTATTACTATATCTGCGGGAGCACATTCTGAAAGGAATACATAGACAGATGACAAAATCCGCCAATACCATGAATCGGTAGGTGGTGTTGAAAATCTCAAGTTCTATGAAACAGACATAGGTGAACATCCCTAGGTTATTTCTTAGAAAGAGAGGAAAAAATGCCCGACCATTAGACTTGAAAACACCAATAACTAAACAACTAGCTCGGGGTTTTTGCAAATTAATGTCAGCGCTGATAGATATTGTGAAAGGTCTCGGGTAAGTTAACATTAACTAAGTTATTGAAATAAACAACAGATTCAAAAATAATATAATAATAAAACAAAAAGCTCATGAAAAGTATATCATGACATGATCGAAAAAATTAGTGGATGAGAAATCATTCACTCAGGCTTGATTTCCTCTTTGCAAGAGGATATGTTTTTTGACTTTAATTTTGAATTGGGTGATATTTGTGCAACTTTCGATATCATCAGGTTATTTATTGAATTTTGAGATAGCTCCGTGAGTAAACTTTTTTTGGCCAAGTGTAGAATTAGCAGCATCAAGATGAAACAAGTCATATTGTCTAGTATGATGTTCATGCATTCGAGAATTCCCTACCAATATGAAGTTAGATTTGAGGTGTTTGATGATAATATCAAAAGAAATTTTGAGAGTATTTATCAGATAGTGCTCTTCCAAAGAAAATGTATTTGTTTCTTCATAAAGTTGATTCGATGGGGTGTCATATGAAACCATATCTGTACTTTAGGAATAACACTTTCTGAGTGAAAAATACTCATCTATACCGTTTCTCCTAGATTGTTTACTTGCTATTTTAGCTTGCAAACACCAACAACTAATCAACTAGGACGTGGTTGTTTCAAATTAATGTCAGCGCTGTCAGATCTTGTGGAGTGGAAGATAACACACTGACACCTACCTGGCCTATTCTTTAATAACATGAAGAACATATTTAGAACAAGTAACAATATGGACGTGGGATCATGATATAAGGTTCAACGACTCTTACCTTCGCTTTTGAGGACCTTCATGTCGTAATTGGGCTGCTTCCTCGGCAAAATCGGCAACAAATTTTGCAAAACGTTCAGCAAGGGTCGCTCCCTGTAAGCCTCAGTGGTATCGTAGGGCGTATGCCTATAGATAGAAATACACAATAATGGAAGTTTTAATGAACATTTCATCAAATCTTTCATATAGGTATTAGTGGTATTACATTATTCCTTGAAAACTCTACACCAGTCATTTCTAACCGATCAAATTTGTTTTTTTTTTGACAAATCACCATAGCAACGCATGTGGAAATTTTGTTCTCTTGGTGGCTACCAGCGAATTAAATCGGCTTATTTTACCGTTTTAAAATGACAGAATAATATTTTCACGTCCTGAAATAGTGATTTTGTGGTGCTACAATGAGTAGACATCAACAATCAATAGGCTAGGAATCAATTGGTGCCCGAAATCCATTGATTATACAGTTTGTATGGTACGTCATACCACTAGCTGAGCCAGTGTAAGGCGTATGGAAAGCTAAGGTACGAAATCGTTGGTGCTGATCAAAGTGGATAGAATATGGTGTAATCACAGACAGTATTTTGTTTCTCCCAAAACGATTTGCAGCAGATTCCGCAATAATGGTATTTTAGTTCTCAGTTGTCCGCAAGATGGCGACAATTTTTACAGATTTCTTTCATGACAGAAAACAGAGAGATCTAATTAACCTAAGGTGGACAGACCTTCATCAAAAGGTCATGGAAGTTCAGAAGGAGAATTAGGAGAAGGAAGAGTAGATATATGTGTGCAGCAGGGGTCAGCAAAAAGGCCCATAGGGGCCTACTTGCTAGGGGACCAACTTCCCTTTTACTACTACTACTACAACTACTACGACTACTACTACTCTACTAGTAGTATGTATGTGCCTATCTGAGAATATGATTGACAAAATTATAATTTTCTACCAAGAAGTTGATATAAGATGAGAGAATATATATATTAATATGTTACATTCTGCACTGGTATTTTCATGCAGCTACAGGAAAAGAAATTAGGAATTTGTAGACCCAAACTGAATTCGTTCATGGACTTGAATAAATAAAATCTAAAATTATTTGATTTCTTACCGAATACCAGGGTCGTCCGGAGGGGAGGGGGAGAAAGCCCCCCCCCCACTAGCGCCTGGTCCTTACTCAGATACTTACTGAACAAGATACATTTGCATTATTGAATTCCTATTCTGATTAGCGCTTATTATGGTGACTTTCTGAGACTTTGTTTAATTAGTATTCATCGGCATCTTATAAATAGAATTAATTTTATCAACGAAGTGATTATTGATAAATTTGCTCAAGATACTATAAGAATGCCATTTTTGTTCGAACAAGATTATGATTTTCATCACGTACAATTTTTTATTGTAATTTTGGCTGTAAATAGAATACCTATGTGATGTCAACTCAATTAATTTTCTTCATTTTCAATCCATGTTTTATGTAGAATAATAGTAGGTTATATATCGAGGGAGTAAAGTGCATGTTTTTCCCGAGGTGGTTTTGTAGCCAGAGGGTGCTACAATGCACTGAGGGAAGAAATAACTCACTTCCGAGGTTCATATACTACTTTTTGCACGACTGATTGAAAGAATCTTATGATAAAATCAATTATTGTCAATAAGAAAATAAAAATCTGGACACAAAAATCACGAAATCAAGTTTGATTATCATGTCTACCGATAAATAAGAGTAGCCATATTGCTTTTTGTGAACATCGAAAAAGTGTGCTAGCATATTTTCTGAATTACTTTCAATAAATATTGCAGAAATGTATGAAAAAACTATAGAAGAAGCTGCTGCAAATATAGTGGTAGATTTATTGACAGCAAAATCCCGGAAATTTTTTTAGCCTAGAGAGTACCTACTCTGTATACCCTGTATTCCCGTATTTGTTGGTGTAAAATCGCTTAAAGGTTGTGCAAAAACTGTTTTTTTCGTTTTTTTTCTGAAAAATTGACCTTCCTCAAAGCTTTTATTTATTTCATTATAAGTCGTACCCACCTGTAGTATAGCACCGAGAAATCGCTCAGCCTGTGCAGCTCTCTCAGAAAATATTTGGCGTGTCGCTGGAAGATCTGCGACATCAGGATGGATTCGATGACGCCGTGGGAACCCACTTTGTGCACGCGACTGTCTAACATGAACAGATCGTAGTGGGCGTTGAGGTAGGGTAGGTCGAATTCTTCCGCTACAACTAAGAAACGATTTTTGTTAGTTAGTTGTTATTATTTTATTACCTAACAGATATGTATATTGGGTTCCCTATTTCAATAAAGATGTATGTATGTAAAAAATGATTTATCTGATGGCATGTCATAATGACAACGTTATGTCATTCAAATTTGATGACATAAAGAAGCTCATTATGGTACTGGTACTGGTACTGGTGGGGGACGTTTCCACGTCAGCAACTAGTCCCTAATGGGACCTTTTTGCAATCCCCAAGTGTTTTCAATGACTGATGTGGTTCGCTCAAGAGAGCTGGCTAACATCCTTTTCAGGCACCGCCCATCAGCTCTCTTTCAGAGTTTTTCGGCTGTGTTTTGTAGGCTATAGTAATGTACTCACTACCATATGCGCAGTGGCAGGCCTGCTAGCTATCCTCGTTAACCCCCGTTAGAGACCGAGGTCCACTAAGCAGCTGGCCCACTCTCACGCTCTTCTTCTCTGATGCTCACAACCACATCATCATCTCTTTCTGCGTGTTCTGTGTAGGCTTTGTTACTGACTCCATGCGCCACTTTAGGAGCAGCACTGTTAATTGGAACGCAACAGCGAATCGTGCAGGACCGGAAGTTCAAGATGGCGGATTCAAAATGGCGGATTTTGTATCTGGTGGTTCTCGGGGTCGGAGATTATGATACTTTCGTCAAAATTAGGAAATTCAAGATGGCGGACGAGTATTGTAATTATGATCCGACTCTCTCCAAAATTGTTATCGGGATCGGAAATTATGATTCTTTTGTCAAAATTTGGAATGGGTGGGATTTGGAAATTCAAGACGGTGGAACCAATATACCAGACAAGTTTTGTAATTATATACCGATTCTATTAAAAAATTTGTAAATGGGCGTTTTCGGGATAAAAAATTATGATTCCTACGTCAAAATTAGGGAATTCAAGATGGTAGATCCAATATTGCAGACGAGTTTTGTAATTACGTTCCGATTCTATTCAAAATTTAAGAGTCGGATCGTCGAAATTCAAGTGAACTAAAAAGAATATGGAATAAATGGTCGTTTGAAAAACTAAAGAAACACGCTTCTATAGATAGCGAAACTAAAAAGAAGTCGAGAATAAAATAATAATAGTGTATCGATAGATATTGAACTGCTATAGTATTGTTATATATCGATAGTATATAAAATACACTGTCCATAACACTGTTGCTCTTCTCCTCTTTCTCCTTGATGCAACGACTTCTCTGACTACAACAATTGAGTCGTTTGAGCTCGAAGATTAGCATGAGCGATTGGTAATATATTGATATTTAATTTTGATCCTAGCGGTTCTTACTTGCAACTCCAACCGCTTGATCCTGGCACAGCATCACGAAGGCGTAGTAGGAACTATTCGGAAGGTATAAGCTGCTCTCGAATTGTTGCAGTACCATCGGGTAATTGGGTATGGTCGAAATCAGGGCCTTCACTTGTTTCTCGTGTTCTACTCCCGCCACCTAAACAGGACCGATACCGTTTCACATCCATTTATTACACTACACTGTTTTACCACTAACCAAACCGATTTTTTAACGCCTCGACACGTGTTTCGCTAACTATTTGAAAAAATTTTGAAGAAGCGTATTGTAAATTTCATAAACAAAAAATATAGTTTTGATAATAATCAGTTCGGATTCCAAGAAAATAAAATAAAAAGGCATTTGATACAGTTGACCATAAGAATCTCTTAGAATACTTGGAATCGATGGGACTTTTAGAATCTTATCTTGCGAATAGGACAATCAGCACTAAATGTAATATGTCAGAGTCTAATAAACTTCCAATAAGTAAAGGTGTTCCACAGGGATCTGTTTTAGGGCCCATCTTGTATTTATTATATATTCAAAATATTTCTAAAATTGGATTGTCAGGTAATTATACTATATATGCAGATGATACTGTACTTTTATACGAAAACAAAAACCCCATCATTCTAGAAAATATTATTAACGAAGATTTGAAAAAATTTGAAAAATGGCTTTATTCAAACATTTTAACAATTAACACCAATAAAACTAAATATATAATATTCCATCAAAAAAATAAAAAGAATATTAGTCTCAATCTCCAAATTAAAAATGAAGTATTGAAAAGAACTACACAAATAAAGTATCTTGGTTTGTGGATTGATGAAAAATTGAAATGGGACAAGCATATAGAGGTTCTGATACAAAAAATATCTCCGATCATTGGAGCTTTGCGAAGATGTCCTAAACTTGACAAAAAAGTCATAAACATAGTACTTCATTCTCATATACTCAGTCGTATTACCTATATGATAAACGTTTGGGGATCTTGTTCAAAAAATTATTTCAGTAAAATATCTGCACTTTATAAGAAAGCACTGAAAGTATTGTATCGCCTCTCATTTGATATTCCAACAAATGATCTGTATGCGATAACAGAAAAATTTTCATTGGATGAATTATATAAAATAGATTCTCTCAAAGTTTCATATAATATAATAAACAATAATCTGAAATCCAATTTTGTTTTGGTAAGAAACTCAGAAATTCGTGGTCATCACACGAGACAATTGAACTTATTTCATCTTGATTCTGCTACTTCTATAATTGGCAGAAAAAAATTTACTCACGCTGCTGAATTTAATAAATTACCACATAATATAAAAAATTGCAGACATATTTCAAAATTCAAAATTGAATTAAAAAATCACATGATTTCATTACGAAATGGATAAAATTGATACTTTGCCATCTACTGATTAGTCCCTGTGGCTATTTTTATGACTTGATCGATTTAGCATTTTTAGATTTTTTAGATTTTTATTGTTGTTGTTGTTGTCACCTTATATTATTTTATTATTGTTGTTTGTAATCAACTTCCTCATACCAGAATTTTATTTCTGACTGGAAGCTAGTTTTTCAATAAACAATAAACAATCTTCAGGAGAAGATTTAACCAACAGCAGTTTTAATCCTATTAATAATATTGTTAGGAAAAGCATAGTAAAAAAAACACGTTTCGAAAAGTTTTTAACCCCAGCCCCACCAGTTCGTCTTCGTACCTTAACAGTCATATCAGCCAGGACGGTATTCTTATGCATGACGTAGAGCTCGTAGGGAAAACATCCTGACGACCGCGGTACCACCCGGCAAAAGTACTTGGTTAGCTTGTTGATGGGCGTTGTCGAAGGAACTGACAACACACAGTAGTCCCTGTCAGGGAAACATTCGAAACACGCCTCGAACAGCTGTAAGGTGATATAAAGTGTGTAAGAATGTGTTTTTCCCTGTAGGCAACATTGTGAATCAACGAGAACGTAGTTCCAGAGCTTATTTGAATGTTATCAGTACTAAAATCAATAATTGCGAATCTAAAATACTGTATATAAACAAAGGAGTTCCTCAGGGATCAGTGTTGGGCCCAATCCTGTATCTTTTATACATTCAAAACATTTCAAAAATAAATTTAATAGGGAAGTATGCCATATATAATATGCAGATGACACAGTACTTTTATTCGAAAACAAAAACCCTGTAATTTTAGAAAACAACATAAATGAGGATTTGAAGAAAATAGAAGATAATGGCTATATTCTAATCAGACACAATATATAACTTTCTATCAAAGAAATGAACAAAATATTGTTTTGAATATTCGAATAAAAAATGAAATATTGAAAGAACTGGCTATACCCAAATACTTGGTATTTGGATTGATGAAAAGTTAACATATTGGCATGCTCAAAGAAAAAAAAACAGGGTGGTGCAGAATTCAGAATCTTGATCACCCGGTATATGTCCCAATTAAATATCAGTAGATAGTTAATCAAAAGTTGAGATAGGGACATGTAAGCCGTTTTGACCAATAATGAATAGTTTCGACAAAAAAAAATCCTAAAGTTGAAAAATGTCGATTTTTCACACCCTATATCTCTGTAATCATTTCCGGTAGACCCCAAGTGTGATACATCTATGAAATCAGCTCTTCAGAGAGAATCTGAAAATTCAATAAAATACAGGGTGTTCCATTTAAAATAACAAAGTAGTTGCTACTTTCTGATAGAAGCGGCAACGCCGCAGAGCTGAAAATATTTTAGATCGATAGACCAACAGCAACTACGTGAGTACCCAAAATTTCAGAATGATCCTATGTGTTGTTCTCCGTAAACGTCTAACGTACCATCGACCGTGAGTTACCCTCTATGAATTTACGTTTCAATAGGAGCAAGATTCGCTGAGTAATTCTGAATTTAGCCCTAACCAATCAGAGCTCTATATGTGAGACGCAAAACCCATAACGGTGCATTGGGATTTCACCTTTATGAGGCCGTATTCATGTTCTGGCAACGAAGCAGCTATTTCCAAAGCGAAAGCGTTCGGTTCACCATGAAATTCGGGGATCCGCTGGATCTTTCCTTTGGACGCAGAATCTAGAATAACATTTTACCTTTTAACCCCGGGAAACACGAGGTATCGGGCCATTCCTGTAATTTTGCATTCGTAAACTGATTTTCCTACAATTTGGTTCAGTTATATAAGCAAGCAAAATGTCGGAGTTCAGTTTTTTTTCTGGAAACACCAACAATTTTGTCTTTTCAAATGGAACACCCTGTATATTTTTACATATTCAAGTTCAACAGGTCACCACAAGTGCAATCTTTATGACATATGTAATTTTTTCGAAAAAATTTAAAATCAAATTGTTTTTTCGTTTTACCTCGTGGATGAATGAGATATGTGATCAAGGCTATTGACAATTAGTCACACATAACAGAGAAACATAATTATCTCTGTAAAATTATGTTTTGTGTCACTTATCGATGAATCAATTGAGTCACATCACATTTTGATAAACAATATTTTTTTTTTAAATGGAACCCCTTTGGGGCAACTAAATTCCTCTCTAGAACATATATTGAGGAATAAACTCCATATTACTTTTGTTTTTCGGTGCAGCAACAAATTGTATAAATTCAGAAATCAACAATTAGTTCATGAATTTCCTTGTAGTTAGAATGATTTCAATTTTTTCGAAAAAAATACATTTGACATGAAGATTGCACTCGTTTTGAACTGTTGAACTTGAATATGTAAAAATATAAAGAGAGTTCTATTTGAAAAAACTATGTTGCTGGCATTTCCCGAAAAAAACGGAAGTCCGTCATTTTGGATGATCAAATCCGAAATGATTGCTTATAAACTGTACCAAATTTCAGAAAAATCCGTATACGAATGCAGAAGTTACAGGGTTGGCACGATACCCTGCACCACCCGGTATAGTGAGAAATTTTGATGTGAGAAGTAGATAATAGCATTCTGGGAAAGGAGTGTTGAAGAATTGACAAAGCTCCACCTCTTGCAGATGTGCAAAATGGACCATACCAAAACCATTCAAACAACAAACCAACAACTAATTTGAAATTAAACAATCAAATCAAACTTGCAATCTTTCTGAGGTGACGTTTTGTAAACTTCAACCTTGAATTGTCCATTTTGACAAATATTCTATGGGTTGCGTGCAAACAGAACCTCACTTTTCTTATTTGTTTGCAAGTAATTGAAATAGCTTTTCACAATTTTCACATCGTACTGTTGTACAATGCACAAAAAATGCAGCGAGAGACGAAGGAATCCGGTTGGTACATCATGATTCAAAAGTTAGTACCTACTATAGTCACTCACATATAGTTTTCATTTTGAAATTTGGTAATTTCTCTGATTTCTCATCGGAATCAATTCTGCAATAGGAACTAATAGTAATACTCGTGGAATTTCTAAAAGAATGCAAGAAGATTGGATTCATGCAATCAAACGGGAGGACTGGTTTGACATGCTGATGAAATATGATCGTGTGTGTTGTAGACATTTTCAATCTTTTAGCAGTATTAGCTTCTATTGCAGAAGTGGCAGAAAGAATTTTAATAATAAATGACAAAATTTCATAATGAAAACTATGTGAGATTACTATTTACCTAAAAAAGCATATTCCTTCGTCTCTCGCTGCATTTGTTGTGCATTGTACAACAGCACAATGAGAAGGCATGCTTGAATTATTGAATAGCGCAAAAAACACGATTCGTATGCCAAAATATAGTGAAAAACTAATTCAATCCTTCGATTCCTCTGTAAACAAATGAAAAAAGTGTTTCAATGCTTCACAGGAAAGTGAGGTTGTGTTTCAATATTTTACCTCCAGGGTCAGATTGTCTATTGAAATTAACAAATGAGCACTCATAGCTTTCAGTAAGCTAGAGCCATCAACAGGCAGACGAATGTTGGGTCAATGAACAAACAATATTATACTTCTCACCAAGCTTTTCATTTGGAACAACAATGGTTCAGGATTGACAACTGCAAGAACACGGCTAGATGAACAACTCTGAATCAATTTTAGGTACTCACAACCGGAAACCCAGTCCATCTCGAGAAATTTCTGGTCTTTTTCGTGTATTTCGAGATACTGGCTGAGCAGACCGTTGCTGTCTTCGGATTCCTCGCTGCCAATTATCTCCTGATCTTTGTCCTCATCGTCTTGAAAGAAAAACAGGGAGCCGGACGTGAAGACCAAAGAATACTGATCTGAATCGCTCCTGGACACGTGCAGGAAAATTTCTTCTTCCGAGCTCTTTCTCGACAGTTGCGAGGATCTTTGGTCTATGATGTCTATTATTCTGCGAAATGCGATCGAAAGATAAGACGATATTGACAGTGTGTTCTAGACACGACAATATAATTTATTTTCTGTTTCGTTAGTTAGTTTTTCTAATAATTCCCTATCTTCTCTGTGAAATATGTGAAACATCGTAGGGAGGAAAAATAGGTGGAATTAGCAATGACTTACTCATCTTCTACTCTTGATTGGAGCTGTTCCAAACTTTGGCGTATGTCGTCAGCAGACAAGTCTTCGAAATCGTCTGGATGAGGTTTCTTCAAACCGTTATAGGGCGATAGTTCGAATTCTTCATTAAGGACCTGAACAAACCCACAAAAAACAAATTCTGTCACACACCATACCTCAGTCTGGAATCCACGTGAGCATAATATAAAGTCAACAACTGGTTTTTTCCAAGCATAAAACATAGATTTATAAAAAGATATGTTAGGGAACACAATTTCGAAATTAACTGAGACCATTCAGGTTTCCAGTCAAGACACTCACCGAAGTTAATGTCTAAAAATTTGCGTCTTATCAACGTTAAAAAATAAATCGTTATTATTGAAGTAGTTTGACGCAAAGGTATCACTACACTTTTCGATCATAGATGAAGAATCAGGTGTAGATACAATCAAATAGAAATCATCTGCATAAGCAATATACTTCATTGTGTCAAGAACAGAGTCAATTTGATCGATGTATAATATAAATAGTATTGGTCCTAAAATGGACCCTGGGGTACACCCATATCAGTAGAAATAGATTCTGAGTCAATTTTTGACATTCCAACATCATTAGAATGTTGCAACGAGACAAATTGTTTACGATTTCTCAGAAGAGAAGATATCCAATTCGAGGACCGCCCCCTTATACCATAGTTTTCGAGAGACGATAGTAGCTTTGTGTGATTGACGCAGTCGAACGCCCTGTTTAGATCGCCTGACTCAATAGATTCAATGATTATGTTGAACAATGCTGATACCGCTGAGGAAGTTGATTTTTCCACTCGGAAACCATGTTGGTTCTCATTCAAAATTTCATTTCTTTCAATAAAATTTATAAGTCGATCCAAAAAAGCATATTCGAAAATGTCAGACATTGAGTATGGATCAGTTATAGTTCTGTAATTTTTCAGTATTCTCGGATCATCTTTCTTATGTATTGGAACCACCTGCTGGTTCTATAGTTCTATTCTATTCCAAAGTGGTCATGATAATATGGTTTTCACTGACCTTATAGTTGACTGTGCCATGTAAACAAAGAACCGCCACGGCCGTCCCTTGATACTCGGCCACGATAAGCTGCCGGTCAACATCACTCTGCCTGGTGAGGATTTCGGCCACGTAGTAGCTGCCGTAGCACTCCTGCAACCTGGTCGAGTGGGTCTCGATCAGAGGCACCAGGTCGTCGTTGTCCTCCTCGACGGCCCTTCGGATCTTGTAAGATATCGTGAAGTTCGATCGCCGAAATATGTAGAGGTATTGGCAGGAATTGTGCTTCGGACAATCTGGAACGGACAGTCACTTCTAGGGTTTGCAATCCCGGAGTAATATTACAATCCCGAGATTCCGGGAACAAGTTGATAGGAACCCGGATCCCGGGTATCGGGATCAGAATTTGAAAAAAGTATGGGGTACTCGAGGGTAAAGTGAAGAGAAAAAAGGCCGAACATTTATTATTACTTACAGTGTAGACTGAACCAGGAGCGTACAAAAATCCACTCCTAAAAGAATATTCAAGAATATTCAGAAACAATCAATGAACAAAGAAAAAATTAGTCAAGGACATAACTTACTGATAAATTTTGAACATTTTTCTCAGAAATAATCAGTTTTTTACTTCCTTTTTGCGTATACCTATATTTCTGCAGTTTCTTATTTCATCTGGTAGTTTATTGAACTCAGATAAGGCTGCATGAGTGAATCTTTTTTGTCCGAGTGTAGAACTAGCAGCATCATATAACTTTCTGCAACATCTGAGCTTCTCCACTCAACATTTCGTTGAATTGTTGAAAGATTAGCACTGTTCGCTTCAACTACTTGTTGCTACCTGTGAGAGCTCCAGCTGCTTGGCCTTCAATGTTACTCCCAGTATTCTTGAGTGCTGTTCTGCATCCTTCGTAAATAACTTGACAGTCTTGCAGGTTTGAATCGAATAGATCCGGCTCGAAGGACCAACATATTCGATGCTTGATAGATGTATTTGTATGATTTTATATACAATAATTGTGTTTTCGTGAAACGTTAACCAGACACTCCCATTATTAGTGCAACGTAGTAGCTACGTATTCATAACAACGACTATGTGGTCAATATTCCTCAATATTCGACGTCTTAAACACGTAATAACGACTATAAAAATGATTATTACCTTTCGGCATGACGGCTGTGCCCAAACCACACAGGAAATCAGTCCTCTGCTTACCGGGTGGCACCACCAGAATACAATACTCCAAAAAATTCCTGATCACGAACAGTCCCTGCACGAGAGGCCTTAGAAAGAGGAAGTAGTAGACGTGGTCCCACACCAGCAGCTGTATCCACAGGGTGTTCCGGCTGTGGGTCTCCTTCAGACCGTACATGTTGTAGATCCAGTGGTCCCACTCCCAGGGAGGCAGCGCTGGGACGTTGGGGTGCAGGTTCAGTACGATGGCTCCCACGATTTTGTTGTCGTCGTCTTGGATGCCCAGCGCCAGGTAGCATTTGGTTCTGGGGATTTTACAATTTTTAGTTTCATCGAAATTATATTCCGGCTTGACTTGGTTGATGGATTTTCTAAATTTTTTTTCATGTTCTGGTTCCCACGACAAGGGATATCCTGTAATGTTCAGAGAACATCGTGAAACCAAGGAAATAAGGTAGGAATTGGTGTTCTTCTTAACTTTCTGGAGGTTATATGCCTCGGGGAACACCACCTTTGGCGATGTGTTCCAGAGCCTCGCTGTTCTTTGGATGAACGAGTCTTTGGAAAGAGATGTTCTGCAGATCTCCAATAAAGTGACCACGAAGGGGTGCGAAGCCTCAACTCGGCGGGTTAATCTCGCGGGGACTGCCAAGGGAGGGACAATTGTTGATATTTCAGAAGAGGATCGTCCACGAAAATATCTATAAAATACAGCCAAATCGCCAACTTTCTTGCGGTGTTCCAGAGAAGTGAGTGAGTTTGTGAGCGAGGCATCACCCACGAGACGAATTGCCCTTTTTTGGAGAGAATCCAACAGTTTCAGGGTATGTTTGGGTGCTGCACTTCAAATATGGAAACAGTATTCCAGGACAGGTCGGATCTGTGCCTTATAGATCATAAGCAGCTGACTGGAAGTGAAATAGCTCCTGGCCCGAAACAGAAAACCAAGTTTTTGGGATGCACTTTTAGCAAATGATCCCACGTGATTTTCCCAAGGAAGGTTATTGCTGATAGTAAATACCAAGCATCGAAATGGATGTCTTCAAAGGTATGGTTACTCCTGACAAGCTTATGTTGGTCACAGTGAGATCGGCTTTTCTAGAGAAGAGGCATGCTTGTGTTTTGTTTGCATTGGGATCCCCATTCTAGAATTGTTGCCAAGTCCATATTTATGTTGTCAACATTTCTCCCTCGTTCGTTTCTGATTTGCCTGGCTGGTATTGGAGCCCTGGAAGAGAAGGCGGTATGGAGGGTACTATCTTCCGCGAATCTGTGTACTGGACATGAAGTTGCTTCCAACAAATCTTTGATATGGAGTAGAAATAGTGTTGGTGCTAGAATTGATCCTTGCGGAACACCAGCATTTATGATAAGAGAGTCAGATGAAACTCCGTCGACCACTACATGGAGAGACCTGTTTGACAGAAAACTAGCTAGCAGAGAACATAGCTGGGGAGGCAAGCCATAAGATGGAAGCTTGGCGAGGAGTCCGTGGTGCCAGACTCGATCGAATGCCTTGGAGATATCAAGTGCCACGGCTAAGATTTCAACATATTTTTCAATAGATTGCTGCCATATATGTGAGACGTAAGCGAGCAGGTCACCAGTTGATCTCTGATGACGGAAGCCATACTGCCTATCGTTGATAATACCTGAATGTTCCAGGTATTTCATGAGCTCGATGTTGATAGCTTTCTCCATGATCTTTGAAATAATAGATTGCAGTGCGATCGGTCTGTAGTTGCTAGTTGCTAGGTAGGGTATTTTTGCCTTTTTTAGAGTACATCCAACTCATGCAATTTTCCAGTTGGACTGGAATATACCCAATTTGTAAGAGTAGTTGAACAACTTGCAGAGAACAGGTGTTAGTTCGAGAGCACATTTCTTAAGAACAATCGGTGGGATTCCAGATGAATGAGTATATAAAAATAACAAGTACAACTTCTTGATTTTCAGAAATCTACACGAGGTGAAAAGAACTTATTAGCGAACAATGTTATTCAATAATTTTTATGATTCGTACTCACAAGACTTCCTCCAAGTCGAATTCACCGAACATAGCAGTCGTTAGCTTGGGATCGATCAATTTTTCCAAGGCTTTTTTGTGTTTTATATCTAAACGAATTACATTTTTCGGCGAAAGAACTACCGATTTTTTGAGGGACAAAAAGGATTTGCCTCCTTTGGAACTGGAGCTTTTCGATGACATGTTTCGATCGAATTATTTCACGAATTCATGGACGAAAATTAAGTTTTTTGTCATTTTGACATGAACCCTTTCGAATGTCAAAGCAATAGGCAAAAGATATAGTTAGTAAGCAAGAGGATACCTCGACAATGGTTGGGCAAGATAAGATGCCTAAATAGTTGAGAAAACATTTGGTCAAATTCAAGAATATTTGTGCAATCAACTTGGATTTCAACTTTTTTATCGAATCACAAACTTTTTTTGTTTGTTGCAACGATATTCAGATTAATGTCTTAATGTTTACTTTCAACCCTCATTTGTTTTGTTCCTTGGGTATTCGTGATTATTTCAAATGATATCATGGTTGTCCATTAGGTTAAGTGTAAGAGTAGCCCTAGGCTAAACTTTTGCCTATTTTGTAAGAAAATAAAGACGATTTATTATTATTATTAATTTATACACCTTTTTCATAAATATTTCAAATACAAAATGTTCACATTAGATGACAGTTTTTGAATTTGCAAGTTATCATTATTGACGTTTTACCTTGTTAAAAATATGGTTTGAGACATTTCAAAGTTAAGCTAAATATCGTTGCAACAAACATAAAGTTTGTGATTCCCTAAAAAAACTAGAATTCAAGTTACTTGCACAAATATGCTTGAATTTGAACAAAGGTATGATCAACTGATTTTGTTATGATCAAATTATGGAAGTGTTCAGGGTGAATATGAAATGAACTACAAATTGGGGCTATTAACGAAAAAAATTTAAAAACTCTGATATAAGGGTACTTTATTCCTGAACAATTTTTATATTTTTTGACCTACCCTGTATGCTGTTTGACTTGCAACTATCTCAAGTGCACCTTAAATGATCCCTGAACATGCACAAACTTTCGGCACTGTCTGTATTTTGGTTGTGCAATTCATTAAAAAGATTCCCAAATGTTCCATACTTAAATGACCACACTGTATATATGAAAATGATGGTTGGTGATGAAATGTGAGAACTACCGTATGAATTCGATGAGATATCGACACTTGGTAGGCTTTGAAATTTAAAGATCATTAGTAAACCGATATTATTCAAAATGTTTCGATATTCTGATCAATGTCTGCAGACATTGCATTGATCAGAATATCAAAACATTTTTCGAATTCATGTCACAGCCAACTCATTCTTTTTGAATAAAAAGCGATTCAACAGCGAATTAAGAAATAAATGCCACTTTGTGATACATGGTTAGATAGAGAATTTCAAGGCGAAAAAGATAGACTGAAGGAACGTACAGGGTGACATTCAGAAAAAAAAGTTTGGGTCACTTCCGGTCAAACAGGTGGTTGAAAAAAATTGTCGTCGAGTTCGTAAAGTGCGCTACCATTTATTTTATTCCCCCTGTGAACTTCAAAATTGTATGTCTTCAAATAAAAAAACTACAGGCTGCTACATGAATCCTGTGTCACCCGGTATGGTAAACTGTTGATAAATGATTTTTATTTATTGACTTATAGAATGAACTCGAAATAATCTGAAGTTGAATGAAAATGTCATTTAACCTATAAACGTCAAAAAATTTCCAGTGTAATTTCATGCTCCGTCCCCCAAAAGGAGGAGGAAAAAATTTCCAAGAAATTTGTTTAGTTGTTATGGTAACGATACGAAATACAGGCTTTAAGTTGATCGAAAATGTTTAGTGTGAAATTTTCTAGTTAATTTCTTAGAATGAACAAAACGTTTCTTTGCAGTTGAGTCTCGGGGTGGAGGATGGAATTCTGCAAGCTTACAATCAGGATTTCGAACTGCAATTTGCACACAGGGTATGTCAGATGACCAGGTTTTCTCAGGCTGACATGGATCCATGCACCTTCCTGTATTTGCTGAAGGACGATAACGAACAATTGCTGTACTGCTACCTGTTTCAAGCTAAGAAAGTTGTAGATGTAAGTAAATAATACTTGACTTTCTTCACTGCACCTTTTTTTTCAAGCTTCAACACACTGAATGATGAAAACTATGCATTTCCGGACCCACGTACATATAAAATGAATTTCTGATTTTATCATGTAGAATCACCCCCTTGATTTCTTGCGCATAATTTCCGGACACCCTGTATATAGTGTTATCCACATACTATAACCGATCGGAATATTTTTTCAGCAGGAAGCATTTGCAAAAAGTAATTTCAATTTTCAAGGCGTGTTACGTTTCTTTACATATACATGTGAAAATGTCATTGGCGATTTTTTTGGTGGAATTCTGACTATGATACTTGATTAATTAGGAATTTTCTCTCATGTGCTACGAGAAATAAAAAACAAATGAAAAAATTTCGTTGAAATTGATTTAAAAACACACTTTTTCTATAGATTTCAGACAAAATCTTAGAATAGGCAACAATGGAAGTTGATATCTAGTAGAAAATTATAAGTTCTGCTTCCACTTATCTCGATAAATGAATATACAGGGTGTTTCATAATATATGCGCAGGACTCCAGGATCTGATAGCTCGTCCAAAAATATGAAAAAAGGTTTACATTAAATTACCCTCTGAAATGCAGCATTTTCAAGATACAGGGTGTTATGTAGGATCATGGATGGTGACACGTGGCTATAGGTGACAGCGATGTACCATGTGGATCATATTTTAAGTGATTCTGTTCAGTTCTAGTGAAATATTTCAGTTAGTTCAGATTGAAAGAATATCACTCTTATCTCGAACTTTGATCAATAATATCATGATTAGTAAAGATGATCTTGTATCCTCCAGCATAAGTGATGAGATCGGAATAATTTCAGTTTATATGTTGAAGTTGCGTTTATTGAATATAGTGAAAAGGTAACCAATTCATTATTTTTCGTTACCATAAATTTCCGTAAATAGTTATAGTGCTAATATGGTGATGGAGAACTGATTTTTTTAACGAGGCGCAGCTGGGTCAAGATCACCAAAGTAAATATTTCGCGCAAAAAAAAAATCTACCAACCCCTAAAAATACTGTTCTTAAATAAGTAATATGCCTAGCTTAATATAAAAGGAAGTGTTGAACTGGCTTAAAAAGTCTTAATTATTGTTAAAAGTTTAGAAACAAATAACGTAAGAAACTAAAAAAAGGGAAGTTTGTAGAAAAAATAATTTCCCCTGTGGAGGGGGAGTTTGATTATAACGTCATGCTCGTAATCGTAATTTTTTGAATTTTATAATTTATCTTAACGAAAATGCATCATCTCGATTAAAAATGTGTACTTTCATTATATGACCTTCGATCCAAGATATTACAAAACCATTTCGAGGTCATCAGACACCAGACATCTTCATGACGAAGTAACACTCCATTATTCCACTAGTAACACAGAGAAAATTATGTTTCATCTACTGAAGACTACGTTATTCTCCATTCCATCATTCAGTATTTCTTGTATCACTTTGTATAGACTTTTCCAGAATTTTCTGTGTTCGAACACGATCACATATCCGACGACATACAATGTTGATTCTTCGGAGAAGAATTCCAACTTTCAATTTCATTCAATTAATCGTCGAAAAAATGCATCATTCTGAATGAATATTCATAACACGATTATCAGAGCTCTGAATCTCAAAATTCCGAAAACGTTCCGAGAGAAAGCATCACTCAAGAGGATACAGGTGAGAAAAAAAATTTAAAAAATTATCTGTTCAAACGGTAAGGTGACGACCCCGATGCAATTTTACACCCGTTCAATTATCACCCTGTATCAATATCATCTGAAATTACAGAAGTTTCATATTGCCACAGCAAACTGTCAAGAGATTAGGCTAATCATCGGTGAAAACTGATTTCAAATTGCGAGGAAATTCGTGAGTTAATCTACTTTGAACTCAGGCTATATTTTGGAGCATGACGTTATCAATGTTGACCAGTTTAGTTCCCACATTACTACCACCCTGTATAATCGCATCAAGAATAGATTCTAGATCGATCAATTAGGAAAACTGAGACGTATATTGAGTCTGTAATCTTCATCTTTTTTCTCCAACTCAACACTTTTTCGATAATATTTTGGGATTATATAAGCTTACACAGACTATTTGATACTCTAACGGTAGTAAAATGTTACAAGAGAAGAGCTTTTTATTATTATAAACAGTCATGTTATTTCATAGTAGCGATAAATTACGATATGTGAAGTTGAGTGATCTTTGAGTCATGAAAATTACACCTGTAGTGAAAATAAAAAACGCATGATTCCAAATTTTTAAAAGACCACTTAACACTTCAAACAATGGAATGCTGTTCAAATCTCACGAATGTTATTCTTTCGATCCCACCGGGATTAAAAAATTCTAGAAATGCGTTTCAATCTCTGCTCATCTGTTTCTGGTGTAATCAGGATTGACGGACTGTTTCATTGGGGAATACTAAAAATATCCTGTTGCCGTGTTGTCTGCTACAAAAAAGTCTATAATTATCGCAGTTAATTTTTTATCTATCAACCGGTGGTTCTGGCTGTGTTAATTATGCCATCTGATTTACCATCTGTAGATAATATGATTTATTAGTTCGTCAGGAATGCTCGGCAGATTATTAAATGAGTTTGTATAGTGATTCTTCTTCTTCTTTTGGGTTTATTGGATTTCTGTCTCCTTTCGGTAACAGATCCAGATCAGGTAATTAAATTTTTCAAGAACAATATATGGTTATGTAATGATATTATCTCTCGACTCGAGCACTAAAGACACCGTAGTCCGTCACCATGCCCGGAAGCCGAGTTCATCAATGTCAAAGGTTCTATCGTATTTGCTCATGCTGAGCACGTTTGATTTCAAGTATGGCCCCTTTATCCGGTGAATCCGTCACCATCCGGCCACTATACCGGCGTAGAGATAAGAGGGCTTGATAATTTTCACACACACTTATTAAACTTCACAATAAATATTGGATTTCAATCCAGATCAGGTAATTAGAAAAATTTTAGACTTGCACACACATTAACCTGACTTTTGACCTGGAGATGCCATGTGTCTCCTTCCATGGTCAAAAGTCGAATCCCCGTATAGTGATTCAAATGCACGATGAGTCAGTTTTTAGAAAAAAATCTATGAAAGCTGACAGTTCAAGTATATTCATTCTACAATTCATCAGCAAAAGGTACTGTTAAATGGAATAACTGCACTATTGTATAGCCAAGGAGATTTAGGTACCTACTTCGTTAACATTAGCTACACCGAATAGAGCTATCGTATCACGAAATTTGAGAGGCAGCAAATTAAACGGTCATTTTCTTTTCCATGGAGATCTGTATCAGATTAAAGTCGGCGCAAAAGTGACTTTTTCCTGCCACTCAACAGACAGACAAGGTGTACTTTTACTGCCTAGGCAGGAGAAGTTTGTTGCTATGCAACGTTCCAAGAAATTCTAATGGAATGAGTAATCAGAATTGATATTCTGAGAATATTCCTTTTCAACACTTTCATACCCAATCAGGGGGTTCAAACTTGAACGATGGAAACTTGTGATTTTTATAGACCTCTAATCGCAGATTCGTGATAGAGTCTCAATTCAGAATTCATTTCCACGCCCTGTATGATGAATGTCAATTTATCATACACCCAAAAGCAAGGCTGATATTATTCATTGTCCACAAGATCTCGCTACAAAAACGTAAGGTCAGAGTTAGAGATTGAAAAAACGTATGTCTCCTCAACTATTTCCATAACTGTTCAAATATTCGACATAATTTTTTTCCGAATATTTTTGATAAAATAGGCCACATTCTTTAAGGCTTTCCGGCAAAATTTTGTGATTTTCGACTTTGACATTGTCCCCACGTTCTATAGTAACGTCAACTAGTGGGACTGAAAATGTGAGCCTTCATTGCTCGCCTGAAAACGCTTCTGCTCAATGCGCAACAACTCCTAAACTGTCGTTCATGACATCGAGTCCTGTCTCTTGGTGTTTGAAACATAAGAGTGAGTACAATATATGGCTGGTTCTGTTAGGTCAGTTCAATCTCATAAGTGAATGATCTTTATTTTTATGGAATTAGCGATCTAGTGACTAATTTATGTCGGAGGATAGAACAAAAAAAGTGTGGTTACTCATGAAATTATATTCGCAAAGGTGACTATAATCCATGAAATCATCCAGCAATAGCAGATAATAAACTGCCCCACATTTGAAGTGAGACAAGTGAATATTTTGTTTGTTTTCGAAGCACAGTAACTTTGGGTGGAATCAACCGATTTTTAATTTTTTTTTGGGATTCGGATTGCTCAGTCAATTGGGTATAATAGAATTTTCTTAGTATTCTCCACCTTTCTGGAATCATTCATTCATTCGAAATTCAAAAAGCCATATGTTGTTCAAAATTGCATATCTCAAAACATCCTGTATGGATCTTGATGAATCCGAAACCATTTCGAGAAAACACAGCAGGCTTTATGTTTTTGCAGTCAGAAAAAAAATAAAAAATTATCCTACTAACGGGGCGACCTCAAACTTTTCTAAAATTATCACACTTTCAGATATCATCCTGTAGGTCATGATTTCGAAAAGGTGGAGAAACGTAAGAAAATTATGTTATACCCAGTTGACTGAGCAATTCGAATAAAAAAAAAATCTAAAATCGGTTGAAACAAACAAAATATTCGCTTGTCTCACTTCAAATGTGGAGCAGTTTATTTGGCTAATCAAACAGTATACCCTATATCAGGAAATATAGAACTTGAAGTAAGATCTATACGTAAAAAATGACATATGGTATTTGTAGCTGTAAGTAATATAAGGTAAGTAAATACCTACAGGAATTGTAAAAGGTGGCAGTTGCAATCACCACTGAAATGAATGAACCTGCTGTATAACAAAGTACTAAAGGGCAATGAACACTATACCTATGAACACTTGAGAAAGTTGCTTCAAATGAGATATCAATATCAACAAATGACCAACACAAATTTCAGATTTTTTTGAACTGAAATCTCAACCAAGAAACTGCTCAGACCGAAATAAGTGTCGAAAATGTAATCGTTTTCACTACTGCCACTACAAACTAATTTTCAAAGTATCTGCATGATTTCAACACTTTGGCAAGAGACAATATTGCAGCAGGGACACCCCATAGTTACGAAATCCTCACATCAAAACCACATCTCTGAATGTTCATTGAACTGTTTCAAAACTCCTCAAGTTCCCCATCAATTCCACACGTTCAGTATTTTGAAAAATGCATGCTTGAAGGTCTCCCAATAACCTTTATAATCAGTTCTAAGAGCAACGGTCGAAATTTCGTCCTTCTTCCTAAAGTTAGCCAGAGGACTAGACAAAACATGGATGATCCCATCAGTGCACTCGTAATCAGCTCTCAAGAACTTGATGTACCTAGTGTACCATCTCAAGTAGTAGTCCTGATCTATCTTCACCACCATGATCCTCAATGGACCAGCTTCAGTTCGGAGGTCAATCCCGGTGTAATTATTCGCTTTGGTCAAGGAATAAAGCTGTTCCACAGAGTAAGGTGTCTGGGAAATGATCAGGTGCCTTTTCAACATATCCAGGTCTTTTTCCATTGGATCCAAGCCACCTTCTTCGAGTTTCTTCCACGACGAGTCTCTGCTAACCAAGTAGGTGAAGCTGACGTTTTTCCTGGAGAAGATCTTGTTGAATCCGGTTCTCTCCCCCATAGTGTACACAACCTCCAGGCTAGGATCTGTGCTGAGTTTCTCCAAGATTGGCAGGTAGGGAAAAGGTCTTAGAGCCCTATTAACGATGCCGAGAGGTTGCGCTATGAGATGCACCACGCCGTTTTTCACTGGTATGTTCGGGACGACCACCTCAGAGTAAAATTGCCCCTCCCCGTAGCTACCCCTCGCTAGCCCCTTCACGAACAGCTTTCCTTCTCTCTCAGTGAAAGACAGCACTATATAAGCGTAGTCGTCATTGGTTAAAGATTCGTAAGGGAAGTTTTTGCGAGTTGGTCTAGTGAAGAGAACGTGGGAGGGTATCACGTGACCGAGCACGATGTGCTTGTCCATCATCCGGAATTTGTGGGGATCCATGCCGGAATCCAGAGGGACGAAGAATGTGTGTCCGATGTTTTGCTCGTAGACGTGCTGGAGTTTGTTTTCTTTCACTTTGGTGAAGAAATTCGATACACTAAGGGATGCTTGCAGCCGCCAGTCGACGGTGGTTGATAGGAAGTCGTAAGCGGTTGGGGAGTACTTTGGGGAAGGTATCACTGGATCCAGAACTTCGTCTATCATGTGGAGGACCTGGAAAAGATTCAATTAAGGACTTCTGGCCACTCTAGTATTTTCAAATTTGGGTTCAAGCTGATAGGAAGTCGTAAGCGGTTGGGGAATACTTTGGAAAATGTATTACTGGATCCAGAACTTCGTCTATCATGTGGAGGACCTGGAAAAGATTCAATTAAGGACCTCTGGGCATTCTACTTATTTCAAATATGGGTAAAGTTCAAGTTGATAGGAAGTCGTAAGCGGTTGGGGAGTACTTTGGAGAAGGTATCAAGATTCAATTAACGTCTTCTGGTCACTCTAGTAATTTCAAATTTGGGTAAAGTTCGAGTTGATAGGAAGTCGTAAGCGGTTATGGAATACTTTGGGGAAGGTATCACTGGGTCCAGAACTTCGTCTATCATGTGGAGGACCTGGAAAAGATTCAATTAAGGACTTCTGGTCACTCTATTTATTTCAAATTTGAGTAAAGTTCAAGTTGATAGGAAGTCGTAAGCGTTTGGGGAGTTACTTAGAGAAAGGTATCACTGGATCCAGAACTTCGTCTATCATGTGAAGGACCTGAAAGAGATTCAATTAAGGACTTCTGGTCACTCTATATAGTAACTTCAAATTTGGGTAAACTGGTATTTTGTGAAGGGGAAAACAAGTACATAATCTCATCTTCAATTACCTGTTGTTTTCCCATATATCCGTCCCGACTTCTGGACACATAATTCGACTTATCTTGTAGAATCTTGGCGTTATTAACATAAACATCCTCATCGACTCTGGTGATCCACAGCGGCGGGTTCTCCAAATTCACGCTGCTCAGCGAGTTTTTCTTGCCGAGCGAATCCAGAGGGTACACATCGAAGCTCATATGGTAGAAGGCCAGGTTGGAGTTCAGATCCCCCTGCAGATCCCGGAAGGCTCTGTTTTCCGGTACGAACACTGTCAGCTGTTCGAAGTGGAGGTTCAGTCTGGCCACCCTGTTGGATCGCACCAGGGCGTTGAATTCAGCGAACTGTGGTTCCTGTTGGATTTTCTGGTAGACGGTTTTGCTCCTGAAAAAGAAGGAGGCAAGTTTTCTTCACCAGGGTACAGGTACTTTTATTTTTCGTCATTCGATGGACTTCTTACGAGCAACACTCAGTTGCAAGAGTACAACCAGTTCCTAAAAAAGGCAAAAAAACTCTACCTAGCAACTACAGAACGATCGCACTGCTATCTATTATTTCAAAGATCATGGAGGAAGCTATCAACATCGAGCTCATGAAATACCTGGAACATTCAGGTATTATCAACGATAGGCAATATGGCTTCCGTCATAAGAGATCAACTGGTGACCTGCTCGCTTACATTTATGGCAGCAATCTATTGAATAATATGGTGAAACCTTAGCCGTGGCACTTGATATCTCCATGGCATTCGATCGAGTCTGGCACCACGGACTCCTCGCCAAGCTTCCATCTTGTGGCTAGCTTCCCCAGTTATGTTCTCTGCTAGCTAGTTTTCTCTCGAACAGGTTTCTCCATGTATTGGTCGACGGAGTTTCATCTGACTCTCTTATCATAAATGCTGGTGTTCCGAAAGGATCAATTTTAGCACCAACACTATCTCTACTCCATATCAACGATTTCTTGGAAGCGACTTCATGTCCAGTACACAGCTTCGCGGATGATAGTACCCTCCATACCGCCTTCTCTTCCAGGGCTCCAATACCAGCCAGGCAAATCAGAAACGAACGAGGGAGAAATGTTGACAACACAAATATGGACTTGGCAACAATTCTCGAACGACGATCCAATAACTTGGTAGATTTCAATGCGAACAATACACAAGCATGCTTTTTCTCTAGAAAAGCCGATCTTACTGTGCCCAACATGAGCTTGTCAGGAGTAACCATACCTTTGAAGACATCCATTTCGATGCTTGTTATTACTATCAGCAATAACCTTCCTTGGGAAAATCACGTGAGATCAGTTGCTAAAAGTGCATCCCAAAAACTTGGTTTTCTGTTTCGGGCCAGGAGCTATTTCACTTCCAGTCAGCTGCTTATGATCTATGAGGCACAGATCCGACCTGTCCTGGAATACTGTTCCCATATTTGCAATGCAGCACCCAAAAATACCCTGAAACTGTTGGATTCTGTCCAAAGAAGGGCAATTCGTCTCGTGGGTGATGCCTCGCTCACAAACTCACTCACTTATCTGGAACTCTGTAGAAAAGTTGGTGATCTGGTTCAATTTTATAGATATTTTCATGGACGATGCTCTTCTGAAATATCAACAATTGTTTCTCCCTTGGCAGTCCCCGCGAGATTAACCCGTCGAGTTAGGGCTTCGCACCCCTTCGTGGTCACTTTGGAGACCTGCAGAATATCTCTTTCTCCAACGAACAGCGAGGCTCTGGAACACATTGCCAAGGGAGGTGTTCCCCGAGGCATATAACCTCCAGAAATTTAAGAAGAACACCAATCCCTACTTTATTTCCCTTGGTTCTCACGATGTTCTCTGAACATTACAGGATATCCCTTTTCGTGGGAACCAGAACATAAAAAAAAATTCTGAAATAACTGAGAAATCCTGGATATTGTAGGGCACCATTTGTGTATGGTGTATTTTTTATATGATTCTGATTAATTTACATAAAACTTGTTCGACAACAAGAACAAGTGAAAATAATTCAATACAAACAATATTGAATATAATACACCGTATGTCAACAGTAGGGTTTTTATAAATTTTATTTAATACTTATTATTTTCTTACCTTTGACAAGAGACATGGTGGTTTATAACTAAAAACAAACATAGTATAATTGATGCGAGGAAATGAACCATCATGATTTATCGAAATCAAACTGAATCATGTCATGTTTTGAATAACTTTTGGAAGGTCACGACCGAGATTTCGAAAAGATTGATAAATGTTGATAGGGAATAGCTGAATTTTGCAGTAGCAGATAATATAATTTTATAAGAGATGATTCACACCGACATCAATACCAACATTGATAATTGATTCAATACCTCCAAAGCCAAATATTATGTCGGAAAAATCTTTGACAATCAATTTGATTTTATGTTCACTTCAGCATATATACTGAAAGGAATATAGGGTGTTCTGTAATCGATTCAATTGGTACATTTCTTGAATGGCACACCTTGTACATTTCATATTCGATTAGGGATCTTCAATATGAATGAGTCTAGTTGGTTCTTCGAAAAACAAATCATCGTCTAGCTAAAGCATTGGTACTTAGGTAGTTCAAAATTATATCACATTACTTGAGAGTGAAGAAAATAAATCTGCGCACATGAAATTGCATTCTGTATATATACGGGGTGGCATTGAAATAAGTGCAAATATTTCAAACACTCAGAAAGCTCGACGTGTACTATCGAATGGCACTAATTAAAAAAATTTAGGGATGAAAATAAAATTTGAGGTAAGACTTCTTTTTCCACCCAAAGTTCTACACTGTAGCAAATCTGACGTCACCTCTGTTCAAATTCCCATGCGGTAGGCACAATCACGTGGATTTCAACCATTTAAATTGTTTTAAAGATGCGTACTTGATTATTTTCTCATATTTTGTTCAATTTTTGGGATGAAATTTCTCGTTAATTAAAAGAATTAGAAAAAATCTGATATCATGGGAATATTCCTTAGATTGTATCATACTAATGTGCTGAATATGTGCACTTATTTCAAGAACACATTATTATGTCGGGTTGTTGTTGTTAGAATTGAGAATGTAAATCACAAATTAGCAGACATGTGTTTTGTTGCCTGCTTTCCTAAAAACAGTATATATACCTACCTATATTATTATTGTAATAATATGTAACTGCTGTGATTCTACAAGGTTATACATACAATATTTCTTGTACGTTGAAACTGGATAAATTGAACGTGAACGTGGAAAAAAACTGTACGTACCAATACTCATAATAATAAAAATAAAAATGGGAATAATACATTTACATATTCTTTAAAAATGTTTAAATTCGATTTGTTCCAGTTTCTTCATGGAAAATAAGGAGTTTTTATATTCATTATCGAAAAGGAATATCCTCAGATATATTATGAAAATGAAAAAATAAGGATAAATATATATATGTGAATACATTGAGAATCCGTATTCTCTATCTGATAAAAATATTAATTCTTTCTCGGTATATACAACCACAAACAACTACTTTCCTGGCTATATGCCACGAAGAAATTGAATTACATCTAAACACACACAATAAGAGTTTGAAAATAAAATCTTCTATTGTTGAGAATTTGCATTATCTCTCAGATAGAAATATATATGCACATAAATCACTGATACGAATGATTTTTGGAAGTTTTAAGCTCATCAAGTATACTTTTCCTATACATTTCAATAGTGAATATATTGGTAAGTTATATGTCTATATCATTATATTATTTATACGAATTGAAAGAGGACGTTAATTCTCAATTTCAGAGGTTTTTAATTTTCATGTTCTTCTTCTGGATGTTCAACAGATATAATTAAATGTTCGACGTGGCAAATAGCCAGGAAATCTGTTTTCTGCTGATTGAGTTATCTCAATTCAGAATTTTCTTTCCACGCCCTGTATGATGAATATCAAATAATTTGTCATACATCTAGAAAGAAAACTTCCATAGTCATATTTGAATGATGGTACAGGTGGGGAGACAGAGACTGAAATAAATTTCTAAACATAAAAAAATGAGTCACGAGGTATCAATCGACCCACTTATTCATCCAAGTTCACTATGGGGAGGGGGGGCTGTTGGATCCTAGGGGATGATAGAACCCCTTAGAAAATCATATCGAAATACATCCCCCTTAAAGTTGTCTGGATCTTATTCAATCAAGCACATCCATGAATTGTTCATGAAGAGATATTGAATTGGATGAAATAATCATTTTGTTTGATTCAAAATAACAAGATATTGATCCAATTGAATATTCAGTTGATTCAATGAAATATTTGGTTGATTCAAATAAATATTCGGTTGATTCAATGAATTATTTGGTTGATTCAATGAAATATTTGGTTGATTCAATGGAATATATTCCGTTGATTCAATGGAATATTTCGTTGATTCAATAAAAACTGTATTTTCATTCGACAAATCGTTTTGATGAACCAAATTCAGTATTAATTCAGGAAATTTCTGGAATTTCACATCGATAGATTAAATTAAACTAGGAAACTAATTGACTTCTAGCAGTTCTAGCATAGATCTCCAGTACGTACTTCTCTTCAGCTGATGCAAAACTATTTCGGATGGCTAATCATCCAAGTTCGATTTATCCAGCTGATATTTCATACACGAAGAATCAGGCTTCACGTTTATAATGAATTCGAGGCAGGCATAGACGAGGCGAAATGATCGCCATCTAGAGGCGAAAATTCAACTTGATGTAGAATGAACAAAATATTTAATTGAAATTTAACAATTTCGTTGCTCTATTCAAGCGAATGATCCGATCGAAACGATTTCATTGCTACATCGGAATAGAAATCTTGTATATGTTGTTTCATAGATATATTCTCATCAAAATGATCATTATTTGATCAAATCAACAAAATGTTTATAGTCGAATCAACATACGACATTATTTTGGATCATTTGTTTTTGAGAAAACCATATATTGTCTTGATGGAATTAATATTATACTGTTGATTCATTTTACATTCTTGATTTGAACAAGCTGCTTCCATGAAATAATCATGTATCTGGTTGATTCAACAAAAAATTGCTCACTCCAACAAAAATATTTGAAACATAAATAATTTGTTGATGCAACAAATCCTTTTTTTTTCGTGTTGACGGCGGTCAAACGCCGCTATCATTGCATACTGGATTGTCACGTGGCAGTTGCAATCTTTCTCAGAAGGCAGACTTATAACGCCATAGATCACCCTGTATAGTGAATCACCCTGTATAGCTAATGACGGTATACACGGCGGGTGGCTGTTAATTACTAAACAAACATCTTTCGTCACAACCTCACCTCCGGAATCGTTAATTTCATTAGCAGTTACACATTGGATGATGTTCAGAAATTGTCCAAGTGCTCTAACACGTGCAATATTTTCATATGATCTATCAACAAAATCCTACAAAATCGACTGTCATTCGTTATTGTAGAATTCTAAGGTAACAAACATTCTCACTGAGATGCCATTTTAATACAAAACCATTATTTGTCAGTATTCAATCACGTGACTAATAATATTAATGTTTCCAATTTATATTATTTACCTTCGTTTATTTTTGCTGCTGCAGTAATTGATTTGTTATTGTGTCTTTTAATCGCCAATAATCAATATGTCGTATTGATAATGTGATCAGTTGTAATTGACAGTTCTGCTCAATTATTGTGCCGATGTTTATTGTTTGGAGACTTTCTTAACGATATTATGGTAAGTTTTGGGTCGAGAGAACGACCCATGCTGTCCTCAAAATTTTGTTTTAGGTTATTTTGTGTCTGAACAATGATGGTCGATTGTTTTTCCACAAAAAAATCCATAAAAAAGTAAGAACGGGGTGATTCAGGTTTCAAGACTGAAATATGGGTGTTAGACTGTTAGGTCTCATCAATTTGATCAAAAAAGTGTGTATAAATGTGTCCGATCTCTATCAGTAGCGGAGATACAGGGGGGTCAAAGTTTAATCTTTTTTTTTTCATCAATTGAAATATCTCGCTCACTTCTGAACGATTTGAATTTTGGTCAATACTTTCTAGAAGATCATCGTATGAAGCATTTCAAAGATTTTTGAAATCCACAGGGTGATACGTTTTTGAGGGTAGAGGCTTCTTTATTCCCCCCCAAACTTTTTCGTAATAATCTATATTTCTTGAGTACCGATATATTTGTCCATAAAGGTTCAATAACCATTAGATTGCATCCCATATGATACATTGAATATTGCATACAAGATCAGCGTAGAAAAAAAAATTCGAAAAATCTGCAGTTTCCGCATGTTGGCATAGGTACCTAACATTGACCTTTGATGGCATAGTATGCGATCATACGACTAGGTGATAGCATACTATGCCATCATAGGACTAGATGGTCCTGTGTTGTTCAACTATCTGTATTTTTAGAAAGTTATGGCGGAAAATCAGAAATAATTATTATGCAATATAGAAAATTCAGTATTCCATCATAGAAAATTGAGTAAGCCATCATAGAAAATCAAGTATGCCACCAAATGATATCATCATATCAAAGCGGAGGGAGACAAAAAACCGTGAGCTAAAATCTGATATTTTACCCGTGTATAATACACTATTTTTTTCTGTGACAGAAGAAAGGATGAATCAATATTGAGAAGATATTACATTTTATTACAATCAGAAAATTATCGACGGGAAATTTTAAGTTTTTAACAGTAAGGACACCTGCTTTGTAGGCATCTTCATCATTCTTTAGATGTAATCAAATATCTGATGTCACTTCTGTCAGTCTAATTCTGTGATTTGATTGAAAAAAATTGCGAATTTAGTGGTTGTTTAGTAATCTACGTAACCGCGAGGTCGAATGGAAGATAAAAGGACTTGCAGTTCTTTCTCGGAGACGGTATTATTGACTCATTTTTCGGAACTATAGCACAACAAAAGCCATCAACAGTGTATATATTATGTGATATATATCTGGGAAAAAAGTACTCATGAAAAGTGACATTTTATAACCTGCCAACAGAGGTGAAATGCCACTTTTTTCCCGTCACAGAAAAAATATGTTTTTCTTTTTCAGAGAAAACCTTTTGAAGACTCACTCCTAGGGGCTGATGAAAAAAATTCACTCGAATATTAATTTGTTACTTTGATATCGTGATTATTGGTTAGGGGTGCCATCATAGGTAGTTCTCCCCTACATATACCTACACTTTGTCGTTCACTGTATAAGTTCAAGTGATCATATATGGCTACATGAATAATATAAATATTTCAATGTAAGTTTGTAATTCATGTGGCCTATTTTGAAATTATGTTACCTATTCTATTTCAAAGTTATTCTTTGGACTTTGGGTGTATGCCAAAAATATAGAAAATGTGTAGATTTCCTATGAAATGATGAATTTGTTATGACTATCTGAAGGTCAGTAAAAATATCAATATTAAAAAATACTAGAAACCTACATAAATTAAAAGCAGATCGAGTTATGAAAAAGGAAAAGCTACAGTACCTTACGAAATCTTTGTTTTTGGGTAGTCGCTTGCCCCATTCAAAATTCAAAAAAATGGAAACTCCAAAGATGTTTGTTTATAGAAGATGTTTCGAAATGAGCTGGTCTCATTGCTAGGATAGGAAGAACTGCAAAGTAACTTCTACTGAATGAAAATTTGATTTCCTCTAACACCAACAAAAAATGTTATTCCTATGAAAGACATCTGGGCAAGCTAAAGGTTAAAACCTACGCGCATATAGCCCGATTCTTGAAAAAATCGAAATGTATTTCCTGTAAGAGAATGACCTTTGAGTCATTTTTGGCTTGCCTCGTAGGTACTCGATCATCCTTTCGCTGTGTGATAAATTTAAATTTAGCCGGCCAACGTCATTTTCTTTTCCACCGTTTGTCTGCCTGAAAAAATCACACTGAAATCTAAATTCGAAGTTGAAAGACCCAGTAGCTAATTTCAGTTCATTTCTTCCTTTGGATAATGATAAAATGAGTGTTATTGCAAAAGTGTTTGGATGCTAAAGTGACGATTGGAAAAACACACAATAGTTTAGCAGTTTCATATCAATGTGTTTGTGTGTGGTTTAGGACGATTTGAATGGTGCTAATTTTTTAATTGAAGTGATTACGTTCTACAATTTGTTATTAAAATGATAACAATTCCTATTGGGCTGCACAGCCCTTATGTCTCATCGCACAGTGATGCATCTTACATCGAAAAGAAGGCAGTGAGTGTTGGAGTTTTTATTGTTTCGTTGAACTATATCTAAGATGACCCTTGTACCCATCTTACCTATACAGTATACAGGTTGTATCTGAATAACACCAACAAAATTCAAGGGGTGATTCCTTGTGATATTTTAGGAGGGGGTATTAATATTTCCATGAAAAATCTTTTTTCTATTCATTTCTCAATTGTCTTTCCATCAATTTCAATAAAACGTTATTGTGGTTTTGTTGATAGTAATATGGAGCTTCTTCTAGTGCAATTGTATTCGAAATAATATTTCCAGTGGCGTCACAGGGTGGGTAAATTTATCGATATTCATGGTGAATGTCATTGTACACCACTGGTTTTTCTGAGTTTTATACTTTTATTAGATTGAACTATTGAAATAACAACTTTTTTATTGTCTGTGTGATTTTTGTATCTAGCTTTTAGTTTTTGAGGTAACAATAAAAATTAGATTTGACTCAAAATTTTAATGTAGGTGTTTTCAAGACTTCCATTGAGGTTACTCTTTTCTAGTGGAAAAGCAATAATTCGCGTGAATTTCTGCCGTTTTTTGGCACTTCCGGCCGTCCGAAGATGGCTCGGTGACTATATCGTATGGAAGTCTTAGGTGGAAAAATGAAAATTTTTATTTGGCCTATAAAAAATCTGAAAAAATTCACACAGACTAATTTGATATCAAAATTAACAAATCTGTGGTGGAAATCGGGAAATTTTGTAAAATGGAGACGTAGTAGTCTACCGGAGTGCTCCTATTGGCAAAAAAGCGAAAAGCTGACTTTGAGCGACGATATCTCGAAAACTATCTGTCCTACGGGGCTGATTATGGTCTCTTTCGATTCAGCAGGTCATTTTCTACTGGAAAAGCAATAATTCGCGTGAATTTCTGCCGTTTTCTGGTACTTTCGGCCGTCCGAAGATGGCTCGGTGACTATATCGTATGGAAGTCTTAGGTGGGAAAATGAAAATTTTTATTTGGCCTATTAAAAATCTGAAAAAATTCACATATACTAATTCGATATCGAAATGAACAAATCTGTGGTGGAAATCGTGAAATTTTGGAAAATGGAGACGTAGTAGTCCACCAGAGTGCTCCTATTGGCAAAAAAGCGAAAACCTGACTTTGAGCGCCGATATCTCAAAAACTATCTGTCCTACGGGGCTGATTATGGTCTCTTTCGATTCAGCAGGTCATTTTCTACTGGAAAAGCAATAATTCGCGTGAATTTCTGCCGTTTTTTGGCACTTTCGGCCGTCCGAAGATGGCTCGGTGACCATATCGTATAGAAGTCTTAGGTGGAAAAATGAAAATTTTTATTTGACCTATAAAAAATCTGAAAAAATTCACATAGACTAATTCGATATCGAAATGAACAAATCTGTGGTGGAAATCAGGAAATTTTGGAAAATGGAGACGTAGTAGTCTACCGGAGTGCTCCTATTGGCAAAAAAGCGAAAAGATGACTTTGAGCGCCGATATCTCAAAAACTATCTGTCCTACGGGGCTGATTATAGTCTCATTCGATTCAGCAGGTCATTTTCTACTGGAAAAGCAATAATTCGCGAGAATTTCTGCTGTTCTCTGGCACTTTTGGCCGTCCGAAGATGGCTCGGTGACTATATCGTAGGGAAGTCTTAGGTGGGAGAATGAAAAATTTCATTTGGCCTATAAAAAATCTGAAAAAATTCACATGGACTAATTCGATATCGAAATGAACAAATCTGTGGTGGAAATCGTGAAATTTTGGAAAATGGAGACGTAGTAGTCCACCAGAGTGCTCCTATTGGCAAAAAAGCGAAAACCTGACTTTGAGCGCCCATATCTCAAAAACTATCTGTCCTACGGGGCTGATTATAGTCTCATTCGATTCAGCAGGTCATTTTCTACTGGAAAACGATGAGTCGCGTGAATTTCTGCCGTTTTATGGCACTTTCGGCCGTCCGAAGATGGCTCGGTGACTATATCGTATGGAAGTCTTAGGTGGGAGAATGAAAATTTTTATTTGGCCTATAAAAAATCTGAAAAAATTCACATAGACTAATTCGATATCGAAATGAACAAATCTGTGGTGGAAATCGAGAAATTTTGGAAAATGGAGACGTAGTAGTCTACCAGAGTGCTCCTATTGGCAAAAAAAGCGAAAAGCTGACTTTGAGCGCCGATATCTCAAAAACTATCTGTCCTACGGAGCTGACTATGGTCTCATTCGATTCAGAAGGTCATTTTCTACTGAAAAAGCGATAATTCGCGTGAATTTCTGCCGTTTTCTGGCACTTTCGGCCGTCCGACGATTGCTCGGTGACTATATCGTATGGAAGTCTTAGGTGGGAGAATGAAAATTTTTATTTGGCCTATAAAAAATCTTAAATAATTCACATAGACTAATTCGATATCGAAATGAACAAATCTGTAGTGGAAATCGGGAAATTTTGGAAAATGGAGACGTAGTAGTCAACCGGAGTGCTCCAATTGGCAAAAAAGCGAAAAGCTGACTTGAAGCG